ACCTCCCGATATTCGGTATTTTGAAGATTTTCGCCACATTTTTCCACTGATTTGTCCAAAAATTTTTATTTGTAGATCATAATTGTTTCTACCTCTGGTGGCAGAACATGGAACATTGAATATCTACCGGTATCCACCGATATTGGGTTTTTTTTTTTTTGATTATCCTAAACACATTTACCCACAAATTTTGGTGTTCAAGAATCGCAAATAATAACAGCCCTGATACTATAGAATAGTCTATATATGTTATTGTGTTGGTATGGCTCCCATATAACGCCCTCACCCACTTTATGGTATTTTTTGAAAAGTTTAACTGCATTATCTAAACGGTCTTACCTGTATTTGTAGTTTAAAGAGGAACACGTTTGAATTCAGATTCTTTAATATAAAAATGTTTTCTTTACCTATCGGTTGAGGGGTTTAAAAGTTTCGTCCGATCGAAATTAATATTTTTACTTGTTTCTCTTTATGGCCATAAATATATAATTATTGCTTAATTTGTAGGTAAAAATGTAAAATTTTATCAAGTGCGACCAGACCGAATGTTAACACATTCGCGGACGTGAATTGTATACGATTTGTTGAAGCAAGATTTGTTCATAAAATTTTATGTATTTCATAATTATGACTAACTGGATCATACAATGTTCTGAGTGCTCTCTACACTTAGATTTAAAACTAGATTCATGAAAACTGCAGCTTTAAGCAGTTTCAAAAAAACGCATTGTCAGATAGCTTAGATTTTTTTGTTCTGCTAATGTGTTAATACCAGAACACAGATTTGGTCGTTTTTACTCCGGAGTAAAACTTGCTCGTGCGATGGAGTACTCGAAGATAAAGATTCTGACACGAAGTTGACCTTCTACTTATTAGTTTCGCTTGGAGGGGGGCTCGCGATCTACTCCTTTTTGAAAAATTAGAGTGAGAGTCAATATGCTCGAAATACAGAAAGAGCATAATCAAACAGTAACATCGATTGAAACAAGGTAACAAAATATCAGTGGGTAATGTCGACAGATGTATACCCTCAGTTAATGTTCGATTGTTTAAAAATATTGTGACCTTTTTATGATTATTAAAATTTTTGACCCTCTATGGAGTAGGTTCTGATGCTATGGCCCAATATTGTCAATTTCGTATCGGACCTATATAAATATGACATAAATATTGCGACGTGCCAGATTTACACTATTTTTGTAACTTATATGAGATACGGGATATTTTTTAGAAAATATTAAAATGTGCACGAGGTAGCATATATAGTCGACCGAAGTATTCCATTTTCATACTTCATCTAAAACAGATAAAAATATTGGTTTGGGCAAAATTACAAGAAAATCGAATCAAAATCATAAATTCCACATTCATCTCTGGTTTCTGGCTGAGAGACATATTTAGATATAGCAAGTTGTAAAGAATTACTGACTTTTTTCACAAATTATGACAGATAAAAATATTGAAATTGGGCCACACATTTGTGGGTGAGGTACCAGATTGGGTTTACAGATATCTATCATCTTCATCTTGGATGTTTATTTTGGTTTCTTTGAGCGTTTTGTTTTTGTGAAAATCTTGAACCCTATGCGGAGTAGGTATCAGAAGATATGATCCGATCTCTTTATTACAGATCATGTGTTGATGAAAATATTGAATGTAATCGGATGTTAATTTCGCGTTTTTTAAGCTTCACGGATATTCAAAGCTTTGAGCCTTTGAGTGAGAGGTACCAGAAGGAATGGTCCCATCTTCACAGCAGTTCTTGTGTCAGTAGAAATAATGGAATGTGTGAAATATAAAGAGAAGCTTATTTCAGATTATTTTAGATCGGAGTCTTAAATCTCATTTTATAAGAGTTGTAATTATTCAAAACTTTGGCCCTTTGTGGGGGAGGTACCTGAAGGAATAGTCCGATCTCTACACCTTTATAACAGATCCTGTATTGATAGAAATATACAGATGTGGAATCGGATGTTTATTTATAAGCTTAATGAATATTCAAAATTTCGACCGTTTGTGGGGGAGGTACCAGAAGGAATAGGCCCATATATTCCATCTTAACAACCTTGGGTTACTAAAATTATTGGAATGTGTGAAATTCGAAGTCAATCGAACTTTTACATCATATTTTATAAGAGTTGTAATTATTCAAAATTTGGACCTTTTTGGGGGATGTGCTTGATAGAGTGGACCGATATTAACCATTTTCGCAGCTGACCTAGCACTGACACAAATATTCGGATTTGCAAATATTGTTTGAAAATCTCAACCTTTTGCGGGGAGTTATCAGAAGGAGAGGACCGATATATTCCATCTTAACAACAGACCTGGGGTTAATAAAATTATTGGGGTGTGTGAAATTTGAAGACAATCGGACTCTTACATCACATTTTATAAGGGTTGTAATTATTCAAAAGTTTGACCCTTTGTGGGGGAGGGACTTGATAGAGTGGACCGATATTGTCAATTTTCGCACAAGTTTCGAAATGTTTGCAAAGTTGGAGCAAAATCACCAGTGCACCAGTCACACAGACGGACGGTCGGACGGACATCGGTAGATCGACTCCAAATGTCCTGAAACGGATTTGGTCCAAAGAAACTTAGAGTCTAAAGCCATTATTTCAATGAGGCACGTTTTGGCCAATCAAATTATATATATACCCTCTCTAGCCTTATGGCTGAGGGTGTGCTTTAAAAATGTTAAATATAAAATATAAAAAATTTACTCTACATATGATTCTAAAATGCTGTATGTAAGCTGACCTTAAACGAGAAGAAATTAAACAAGTTAAGAAGCAGTAAGTTCGGCCGGGCCAAACTTTAAATCCCTTCCAAAATTTGGAACGAATTTGGAAATTTTCATAAAATAAAATCCGTTAAAAATTCTGTTAAAATCTTAAAAATACCGAATAAAGCCATTACATTGGGGTCTCCACGACGTGAACCTACATATGCTTTGTTTGTCATAAGCCATTACCATATTCAAATTCAAAACTTGACATAAGCGGTGAATAATGAACTAAGAGCATCAAAATACCGTATATATCGAGGTACCGTTATATCGGAGCTATACGAAGACCTAGACCTGCATAGACAATTTTCGTCACAGGCTGTAGTATCCATTACGAACTTCAAATACCAAATTTGAAATAATTCCGGTGGATAATGTCGCAAAAATTATCAAAATACCGAATATCCGGAGGTACCGTTATATGGGGGCTATATGAAGACGTGGACCTGCACAGACAATTTTCTGTCTTAGGCTGGAGTATTCATTATGACCTTCAAATACCAAATTTTAAACAATTCCGGTTATTAATGTCGCTAAAATCATCAAAATACCGAATATCCGGAGCTACCGTTTTACGGGGGCTATATGAAAACGTGGACCTACATGGCCCATTTACGAACTTAACCTGCCTACTGGCAAAATAAACATGTGTGCAAAATTTTAGCCTTCTATCTTAATTCTTTCGAAAGATAGCGTGATTACAACAGACAGACGGACATCGCTAAATCGGCTTAGAATTTTACGCTAATCAAGAATATATATGGTATGGTGAAGGGTATAAAATAACTGAAATTGTTATTAATTGCATACTTTTTGGAGTGCCAAACCAGAAATGTAGTAGACTTGAGTATATATGTTTCATATTTCAATATTTTTTCCAATCCATTCTAAATCTCCAGAGCAAAATCAGACGGTTTAATTACAATAAATTACAGGTGAATAAGAAAAAACTCGATGTGTATTTTCACTGACCCTGTACATATTTTTTTCTACATTTTGGAACACAACTCTTCCCAATTCTGCAGTGAGTTTGGATAAACTTTTGGTAAACTTTAAGGATTTCCACTTGTTTACATACATTTTTAATTATTTTAAAAAATACCAAATTATAATTATATAAACCAAATTATTCTGATCACTTCCCACCAAAAGTAAAATCTCCAACAAATATTGAATGTATATATAATATAAATAAGTCCCGCTTATTTGGCTTAAACCCAACATCATTGTTATAAAACAAACAATTGAATTTTCTAATTCTACTTTTCTTTTGTCACTTTTGATGAATTATTCCCTTTTTAAGTGAAAAATTACCAATGTGAGGCCTCTTCCATCCTTCATTCAAAACGTTAATAAATAAGTCCCGCTTATTTTGGCTTAAACAAACAATTTATTTTTCTAATTCTGCTTTTCTTTTGCCACTTTTGATGGATTTTTCCCTTTTTAAGTGAACATTTTCCAATGTGAGCCCTCTTCCATCCTTCATTCAAAACGTTAATTTTGTTAGCAAAAATATATGCACCTGTCCATATCGTGTAGGGAATTTTATGATTTTTTTTTAAGTTTTATTTTTCTTTTTTTTTTTTTGCTTAAGTAAATAACGAAGTCCTTTCAAGCCGCACTCTAATGTAACTTTTTCAACAATTACAACTTTGTATAATGCAAAGCAAGCAAAACTTAAAAGCAAAAACAAATCTCGAACGTTCACTATGAAAACTAAATTGTTTTAATTGCCTCCCTTCGTTGAAAAGCCTAAAAACATTAAAAATTCAACGATGGCGAGAGGAGAGAGTGAATGAATGAAAAAACAACACAACGGCTTTTGAGGGCACTTGGCTTTGCTGGCCACTAATGGCACTTAGACGGCGTATGAGTAATTGTCATTGTGGTGTTAAGCATACGCTGCCACCGTGAGGTAAGGCACGCATCCATATATGCAGCAGGTAGATTGGTAGTTTGGGGAACTACTTTTATTGATATGCCCACCGTCAGGGCGAGACACAATGGCTGCTTGGTTGGCTGACAGGCTGACAAAAGTGCGTGTTTTTGTAAAGCTTTTTGTTGCAATTAAACGCTGGCAAATGACATGTTTGCAATGTTGTTGCATTTGAATAAAAGTGTTGGCAATTATCAAAAAGGTTATGTGATTCCGCAAAACAATTATAGGGATTCGAAAATAGAGGTATTTTTTTAGAAGGAATATACATACATTTCTTTTCGCCATGAATTAATCCAATATCGCGTTTATGGTCGATTTCCTTTTGATTGATTTTTTATATGATGTGTGTTTCTTTGTTAGTTGGTTTTTTTCTGTCCACTAAATAAATAAATATTCACATTTGTGTATATGTGTATGTGGTTCAACTACATACATATGTGTATTTTTTTTCTTGTTTTGTTAATATACACAATTTATTTGGTATTTAATTTTGTTTTGGGGAAATACATTTCATTTGGATTGTTTTAACCGTTGGTTATTTGGCCCCGACCGTCTAATTAGTTGCATTTTTCTTTTGTCGATTTCGTATGCAGTTCCGTTTCTTTTGTTTTGCGGTTTCCTTTTTTTTTTGCTAAATTTTCATTTCAATTCATTACTAATTTAATTGTCATGACTTTGTAGTAATGATAGCTGGCAGATACACTCAGAAACACACACACACTCTCTCTTACAGAGGAGAACAATGATTGCAATTTAAAATGGAATCACCATCGAACTTAACACTGTTGTGGTATTTTCACTTTTTTTTCTTTTTTCCTTTTTTGAATATCCTACGAACCGTACCGTTTATTTGAGAATTTTTTCCTTTTCGATTTCGTTTCAAATGCACATTTTTCCGCTGTGGCGACCAACCACTGATAGAAAGCAGCTATTCGCATGCATATGTGAAAACAGTTGCGTGCGGTATTTTCCTAGTTGTTGAGCTTTTCAAGCGTGTTGTATTAATAAACGGAACAACGTTCGAACTACGACTGGATGCATTCACGCTGACCGAACACGACGTTGCTGTGGTGTTCTGTGGATCCGTACTCCCGTTGTGGCCGTGGAAAGTTTAACACGGAGTGTGAGATAACTGTAACATTGTACAAAGAGTACACATATCACACCAATTCAATGTGTGTCCATACAGCAACACACACGCACACACTTGCACTCCACAGTGGGTAAGTGACCTGCTCCAACAACCAAACAATAACAGGGAGACAATAGTCAGCCAATGTGTGTGTATGTTTTTTTTTCCTTTTCTATGAAAGCAAATAGTAACTTAAAGCAAATAAGAAATGCACACACTTCCACTCTCGCTCTTTTTTTCTACGGCACACACACGCACACTTTCTCTCTCTTCCACTAAACATACACACAAAATAGTAGTCATTCGTCATTTAGTTCGTGCCTTACAACGCCACGACGTATCCTTGTCGAAGAGGATGATGGATATTTGCCGTTATCCGTGTTTTCCGTTCTGGCTTCAACCGGTAGTTTAATGAAACTGAAATGCCTGACAAATGTTTTGTTGTTAATGTTGGCCACCAGGCAAAACAGCTTGCTCATTGTGTGCATGCGTATGCGTGTGTATTGGTGGCACAGTGCAAGTGCTGCGAGTACACCGTGTGTGTGTACGAGTGTGTGGGCCAGCTGTTGGAGTTTGTTTTGTTAATGTTCCGTTTTGTTCCTTTCAAAACAGTCATAAATAATGATAAATGAACTCTCACTCTCTCTCTCAGTCTCATACTCAGTGTTGCTTGCTACTCGCACACTCTCTTACTCTTCGGAGTTAATGTAGATGAAACAGTGTTGCCTATTCTCGTTTTTTTTACATGGGAAATCAGCTAAGATGGTTGTAAATATTTAAATGGGAGAAAAAGAAAATAATTTATGGAAATATAATGAAAATGTTTTTTTTCACATCAGACCTATTGAATTATGTTTTTCTATACAAAGAACTTGTTTTTAGGTCCTTTGGTATGTAGATTTCTTTTGCATATATAAGCGAAAATAGATTATAGAAAATCTTGGAAAAATGTTAATTATGGAAAACGCCCTAAAATCCTTTTTTACAGAAAATATTCTGCCACCGGAGACCCCTTAAAAGTTATCTTACCTATAGATGCCCTTTTGTAGTATATTCTCCCCATAAAAAAACATTTTAATGTTGTTCTAAGATTATAATAAGATTTAAGTCTGTGGTCTATCAAATACCGTAAAAAAAAACCTTTTAAAACTTTTTTGGGCTAAGCTTGGACTATATCGAATATTTCCCTTACTTTATAGGTAACAGATAAATTGGGCGGAATTTTCCAATTTCACACTTCATATAATACTGATACAAATATTAAGATGTGAAATTGAAAGAAATATGTAAGTTTTAGGAGATATAAATTTCGAAAATTTTGATCCTTTTTGGGAGGAGAAGGGGTGGATAGATATATTTCATTTTCACATCAGATCTCGTGTTAATATAAATATTAGAACGTGTGAAATTTGAGAACCGGATGCTTATTTCGCATTTTATGAGCATATTTTGACCCGTTGCGAGGGAGGTACCAGACGGAGTGGGCCGATATATTCCACCCTCATACTAGATCTTGTGTTCATAGAAATATTAGTATGTGCGAGTATGAAAGACCTGCTCATTTCTCATTTTGACCCTTTGTGGGGTAGGTATCAGAAGGATTGGCCCGCTCTATCCGTTTTTCGCACCAGATCGTGTTTTAATATAAATCTTGAGATGTGAAGATAGTAATCGGATGATTATTCCACGTTTTAAGAGCTTAATAGTAATGAAGGTAAATTTTGGAGTGGGCCGATATTATCCATTTTTGGACCTGACATAGCACTGCTACACATATAAGGATTTTCAAAGACTACCCAAAAATAGTTTATACTTTCTTGTTCTATAAGATAATTATTTTCCGTGAAAATTTTGACTTTTTTAAGATAATTATTTTCTGTGAAAATTTTAACATTTTTTGGGGGAGGTACCAGAAAGAGTGGACCGATATATCCCATCTCCGAACTCGACCTATGTTTGATAATAATATTACCATGTACCAAGTTTGGACCAATTCGGACACTTCCTTCGAGAGTTAAGGTGCGCGCCAGCCATACAGACGGAAAGACACCCTAGACACCCAAATGTCCTGAATCGAATTTGATCCAAAAAGACCTAGGTTCTAAAGCCATTATTCCGATGAGTTAAGTTTTGATCTTATCAAATGATATATACCCTCTGTACCCATATGGATAAGGGCATGAAAATAATAGATGGACACATAAGAGATCGAGTTGAAGACTTTAAGCTTAGAGGTAAAGCATGTCCCTCATCAATAAACAGTTGTAGAACTCACATATGTTTTAATATTTGGAGCAGCTTTAGCCATAATTTTTTGTCTGAAGAACAAAATATTTGTTTTTAATATTTTCATGGAACAAAGATTCAGCCCCAGTTATAAAATAAATGCTGGACAAAGGCCAACGAAACGAGTGGCGAAAAATTACATAACATTTGATTTTTCGGTGAAATAATATGGTAATATTTGTGAGCATGAATTGGTCCGCTGTTTCTGTCTGACTAATAATTTAATTTTATTTCTATATCTTTATAATCGTTTCTGTAAATATATTCTATTTTTGAAAGGTAATGATCTCCGTTAATTTTTTAAATCTAAAAGAAAAAGTCGTCGTTACTCATCACATGTAATTAAATAAAAAAATCTCTTACTTTCCCACATCCCAAAAGCAGTACATATAAAAATCACTAAATTGGCAACACTGCTGAGTAAACTAAACCATTTGTTTACATTCCTTTAGCTCTCTGTTTACTTAAACAAAAGCACTCTCAACAACTTAATAACTTGGTCTGCTCTCTGTTATTGCTGCTCATTGCACAGTAAATAAGGAGAAGGTACAACTTCATAATTTTGTCGGTGGCCGAACTCGCTCTCTCTCTCTCTCTCTCTCTCTCTTTTCAACTATATCTCCCAGTAATAAATATCTCCCTGTATTAACACGTCCTTTGCGTCCGTTGACGACGGGCAACAGAGTTAAATGTTGTCTTTACAAAATTAACAACAACAGAAAACATTTTGAATATGAGGTCGTTTTATAAATAGTCCAAATTCTCGATATACAAACAAACCGGCAATATACAGCCAACCAACCGAACACCACCCAGCCAGCCAGTCAGCCAAGGCAGCCCCGTCGCTGTGTTAGACCATTGCCCGTTGTCTGTTTTGGTCCCAGCACGCCACTATTTTTTACTCTTTTGGTCGGTTGTGGGGGCCATCGTTGCATTCAGACACGCAACACATATTCACACACACACACACTCACGCACGGACACAAGTGAATTCTTGAAGAATTCACTTTCGTCTTCAAACGACCACGACGATGTCGTCGACACACATTTTTCCTGGTTTGTTCTAACATGGCATTTCTTTAGCTTTTTGGGTTTTTCGTTGTTGTTTTTGGAAGATGTTTGTCTGTGTCATTGTATTTTTGGCGCTTTCTATAAATTGTCATGTCTAAGAGTGCAATAAAGGGGGGTTTTGGGAGGGGGGTTTTATGTGAAATGTAAATTTATTTCTTGTTTGGCTATTGCTATTGTTGTTGGTGTTTGTGCTGTATGTAATGCATCATTAGTAGTATAAACGACAATTTAAACATTTGTCGGAATACAATGTTTGCAGTCAATAGAATAACAAGAACAACAACAAAGAAATTTGTATAAATAATTCATGGAACTTTTTTTCTGTTCCTATTAAAACATTGGTTGGGATATCTGTAGGAAAAAATAAAAAATATAAATAAATTTAATTTTTATTTAAGAAATTTTAAGGTCAAAAAATGTTTTTTTTTTCATTATTGAATTTTTTAGGAAATACGTTTTTAAGGCCCATGAGAAAAATATGGATCCGAATAAAACAATAACAGTAATTCGGTCCTGTATTATGTACTTCTGTTACTTGTTACACCCTCAGCCATATGGCTAGAGAGGGTATATATCATTTGATACGGCCAAAACGTGCCTCATCGAAATATCGTTTTTATACCCTCCAACATAGTATAGACGGTATATTAAGTTTGTCATTCCGTTTGTAACACCTCTAAATATATATTTTAGACCCCACAAAGTATATATCAGCATAAAATTCTATATCGATTTAGCGATGTCCGTCCGTGGAAATCACACTAGCTTCCGAACGAAATGAAGTAGGTTGATAGACTTTTACTCAAATATATGTTATGTCTGCAGGACTTTTGGTATTGAAAATGGACCATATATGTCCACGTTTTGGTATAGCCCCCATATAACGGTACCTCCCGATATTCGGTAATTTGTTGATTTTAGCGACATTATTCACCGGAATTGATTCAAATTTGATATTTGAAGTTCGTAATGGATACTACAGCCTAAGACCGAAAATTGTCTATGCAGGTCCACGTCTTCGTATAGCCCCCATATAACGGTATCTCCCGATATTCGGTATTTTGATGATTTTAACGACAATATTCGTCGGAAATGTTTCAAATTTGATATTTGAAGTTCGTAATAGATTATTATTCACCGATTTTATTAAGTTTCGCATTTGAATATTGTAACGGCTTGTGACAAAGGTTACCTATGCAGGTCCATGTCGTCGTATAGACCCTAATATTACTCCTACATTCGGTACTTTTTAAGATTTTAACAGATTTTTTTAACGGATTTTATTGTTTTTGGGAATCGCCAAATTCGTTACAAATAGTGGAGGGTATTCAAAGTTCGGCCCGGCCGAACTTAGAGCTTTTTTTACTTGTTAGACCAAAATTTGATCCAAACTTTGTACATCCTAATATTATTGTAAAACTTAAATCGAGTTCGGTCCACTCCTTGTGGTACCTCCCCCCCAAAATGTCAACATTTTTAAAGAAAATAAATTACTGTATCCGATTTTGCTTCAACTTTGCATATCCTAATATTTGCATCAGTGCTAGGTCAGGTACGAAAATGGACAATATCGGTCCACTCCATCAAGTACCTCCCCCACAAATGGTCAAAATTTGGATTAATCATAACTCTTAAAAAATGTGATGTAAGAGCCCGATTGTCTACATACACACATCGCAATATTTTTATTAACCCAAGTTCGGGTGTGAAAATGGAATATATTGGTCCACTCCTTCCTGTTCCTCCCCCCACAAAGAATCAGCATTTTGAATATCCAGGAACTCATAAAACGCGAATTTGACATACGATTCGATTCAAACTTGACACATGTCAATACCTCCGTCAACACAAGATCTCTTATAAAGATGGTAGAGATCGGATTATTTCTTCTGGTACCACCCCCACAAAGGGTTAAAGTTTCGAATAACCAAAACAATCAAAAAAACCGAAGTATGCTTACTTCCGGTTCTCTTTATATTAAACACGTCACATTATTTCTACTAAATCCAGGACTGCTGTGAATATGGGATGTATCAGTCCACTCCTTTTGGTACCTCCTCCACAAAGTGTCAAAATTTTGAATATTCATGAAGTCCATAAAAGGCGAAATTAAAATTCGATTCCATTCAGATTTGGTACATTTCAATATTTTTATCAATGCAAGATTTGCTCTAAAGATGGTAGAGATCGGACCATTCCTTCTGGTACCTCCCCTACAAAGGGTTAAAGTTTTGAATAACCAAAACGGTTATAAAATCCGAAACAAGCATCCAGTTCTCTGCAACTTAGAGGAAGTAACCAATATAGTCCAAATCTGGCATTTCGCAATATTTATATCATATTTATTTAGATCCGATACGAAATGGACAATATTCTAAAATTCCTTCCTACTCCATAGGGGGTCAAACACTTAAATATAACATAACAGTAGTCAAAATATATTGAAATAATCGAACATTGACTGAGGGTATACATCTATCTGTAGGCAAAACCGATTATACTTTTTAACTTGTATTATAATTCAATTCAGCTACTGCCTGAAAAAGTTATATTTATCAAAATTTGCAAATTATTTGCTCTTTTATAAACACGTTTTTAAAGAATAATTTTTGTTTTCTTAATTTTCAAATCTTGTCAAGACTTCATTCACCCTTAAAAAATGCCATTAATTTATGTTAATTGTGTCTTGAAGCCTATGGCGTTTTCAACGAAAACAAATCCTCACAGCTCATTCTCCTATTCTGGTAAGCCAAAAATTGAAAAAGTTTTCTATTGTAAAAATTTCAATTATTATTAATTTACTCTACTCAGCAGTTTTTTTGCTTTAATGGATTTCCAAAAAAAAATTTATAATTTATCCCTTGGAAATTTTCAAGGTTTCCCAACTACTTTGGTTTATTGTTTATTATCCTATTCCCTGCCATAAAACCAAATGACAAATAAATACGTTGTTGTTGAATACAACACAAATAAAATAATTAACTGGAATGGCAAGGCGCAGTAAAAAAGGATTATTAAAATGTAAATTAGCCTGAAAATTGTTTTTTGTTTAACCAAACTTTGTTTTCAGCATTTTCAATGGCATGTCTCCTAATGGTAACACTAAATTTCGTCAAAGGTGTCTACAAAGAATTTTCTCTCTCATTCAATTAATCACTCTTAATTACTTACGAAAAGTAAATAATAAGAAATAACTACAACAACGAGGCACACACAATAATAGACGGATATAAACACATACACACACATACACGCACACACACACACACACACACATACACGCACACGTACTTTGTCATTTCTTATTGGATTCATAATTAACCCAATAATTTGAATCACTCACATTGTTGTTGCTGTTGTTGTAGAGCGACATTTCCTTAATAGCAGAATTACAGAGATAAACAGTTGATAGAAATATGTGAGTGTGTGTCTGTGTGCTTTATTAGAATTACTTATACACACTTAACTGGTTAACTGTGTGACATTGACATGTCTCACTGACATTGTCTACAAATATTACCAAACAAAAACATATGTCCAACAACAAAGTTCGGTAACCAGGCAATAACAAAACTCTCTAAACGAAAATTAAAGAGAATGCGTATGCGAGAGTATGAGAGAGGGGTTTTGCCGTTAATACTCTGCGTAAGTAAGTATGAAATGTTAGAATTAAATGATGGGAGGTTTTTAAATGGATTACAAAAGGGATCACATAAAAAAATACGAATACAAAATTGTTAATATCGAAAAATGGCAGACCCTGATGATTGCTCGTCAAGAAAAGTAACCGAGGACCGACTATGTATTTTTACTTTTCCCATAATATTTAGTTAGTAAGTTCCTTAATGGATTATTGAAATAGTGTAAAAAGAACAAGTAAAAAAACTGTAAGTTCGGCCGGGCCGAGCTTTGAATAGCCTCCATCATTTGGAAAGAATTAGGCAAATTAAAAAAAAATAAATCCGTTAAAAATCGTTATATGGGGGCTATACGAAGACGTGGACCTGCACAGACAGTTTTCTGCCATAGGCTGTAGTATCCATTACGAACTTCAAATACCAAATTTGAAACAATTCCGCTGAATAATGTCGCTAAAATTATCAAAAACCCAAATATCGGGAGGCACCGTCATAGGGGGGCTATACGAAGACGTGGACCTGCACAGGAAATTTTTCTGCCATAGGCTCTAATAACCATTACGAACTTTACATACCAAATTTTAAACGATTCCGATAAATAATGTCGCTATAATCATCAAAATACCGAATATTAGGTGGTACCGTTATATAAAGGCTATACGAAGACTTGGACAAGTACAGAGAATTTTCTGTCCTAGGCTCTAATATCCATTACGAACTTCAAATACCAATTTTCAAACAATTCCGGTGAATAATGTCGCTAAAATCATCAAAATACCGAAATTCTGTTATATTGGGGCTATACGAAGACTTGGAACTGTACGGACAATTTTCTGTCTTAGGCTGTAGTATCCATTACGAACTTCAAATACCAAATTTGAAACAATTCCGGAAAATAATGTCGTTAAATTATTAAAATAGCGAATATCGGGAGGTACCATTATGTGGGGGCTATACCAAAACGTGGACCTAAATGACCCATTTTCGATACCAAAAGTCCTGCAGATATAATATATATGTGAGTAAAATTTTTTCAATCTATTTCATTTCGTTCTAAAGCTAGAGTGATTTCCACAGACGGACGGATAGACAGACAGACGGACTGTCGTTGTTAATTCGACATAGAATTTTATGCTGATCAAGAATATATATACATTGTGGGATCTAAAATGTATATTTCGAAGTGTTGCAAACGGAATGACAAACTTAATAGACCCTCCAAACAGCGGTGGATGGAATAAAAAGGCCAAACACGAACTGTTGGAACAGATCTAAAATTTTAATGTGGACTTTTAGCTGAAGAAGCAGCGGGCACTTGCTACTTTAAATAAATTTTGACATGAGTTACGGTTATACAATCTGTTGACCCCTTTATGGGGGAGGCTCCGAGGGAATGGGCCAGTATTGTCAATTTCGTATCTGGCATATTTCTGATATAAATATTACAACCTTACGATAATTTTTGGGAAAATGTTGATTTTTGCGAGAGACTCAAATGGTATCGTGCACACTTGCCTATCTATGCTCTTTAAAAAGTACTTAACGAAGAGAACCCGTTATCGAAATATTAATTACAAATGAGAATGTTATTACATTTCTCTTTAGTTTACTCTCAATCAAATGACTCTCTCCATTATTGTTATTACTGTTAAGGAATGCATGGCAAAACAAGTTTCTAGCTGAGCAGCAATGGTTTATTATTATTTCCTCTGCTCTCCCTCCCCCCTCTAACTAACTCAGTAGAGCACCTTTTTGATAGTTTTTGTAGGTCGTTGCTTTGTGTAAAGGAATTTTTATGTTAAATTTTCTCTCTTTCCCCCAATTTAACTCACTCTATCTATCTGTCTGTCGATGTATGCCAACCCTGTAAAATTGTCATGGAAATATTGAAAAGTTGTTTATTTTCCCTGTTAACCGAATAAAAAACTTTGTTTCATCGAACTTAATTGAAGTTTGTTTTACAATCAATCTCTCTAAATTTTCATTAAGAAAGCTACGTTTTTTTTTTTGTGCGCCCTGTTTGAAGTTGTTGTATTTTTTGTTTTTGAATTCCTCCCACCATGTCCCTGGCGGAGGACAATCAAATAACGGACAGCAGCAATGTATTGCCGCCGCCGTCCATCAATACGGTGGGTTTACGACCCAAACACATTTACGGTTTGCGAACCAATGTTGTGGGCAACATACATTTTAATTTGCAACAAGAGGTCGTTTATCCGGTCGAAGGTGTATTGGCCTTTCACGATTTCGTTGAGAACAAACAGCGTTTCTTAAGGTGCGTATGTATGGGTGTGAGTGTGTGTTTGCGAATTGTGGGAATGCCTAGGGTATTGTTGGAATTTTTATTGTTCTTATTGTTGTCGATGTTATTATTGCAGATTGCCCGAGGATACCATACCCTTAATTATCCAAATCAGTCCACATCGCAAGCTTTTGGCCATTTTGGAACAAGCAAAAAGGTGGGTTTCTTTTGAACATTAAATTCTTAAAATATTCATAATCTTTTGATACTAATCTTTTTGATGACAGCAAACCCGGCAACGGCAAAACCAATGGCAGTAAAACCATATCCATTTATGATTTACAAACTCTCAAAAAACGCCGAACTTTAGAATTACCAAATGGCTCGAAACATGCCGACATTACCCAAATACTCTTTACCGGAGATTCAAAGGGCCTGGCATTGCTCACCCAGGGACCCGATGAAATGATCTACATGATATTAATGGACAAATTGGGTACCGTCTACGAGGGTAGAGCTTGTCCAACAAATGGACGTTTTACTGCCGAATGCCTAGCCTGCAATCCTCAGGATACAAGTCTCTTGGCTGTGGGTGGCAATAATCTGCTGACATTGCAAACCAAGTCCGATAAGGGTTTCAACATAACCAATAACTTAAAATCAAATTTTCTCAGTAGCTCCATGGCATTTTTGGCCATGGATCTACTGATGGTGGGCACCAGCAGTGATGAACTGATCCTGGTGGAAAATGGCGAATATAAGCTAAGACAAAAGGCCAGTGAAGCTGAGATTTTCGATTTACTTATGGATCAGGAGGCTTTTGACCGGGAGCAGGAACAGCGTGTCCCAACTACCACCAATGCAAATAGCAAACTTTACGATAGTCGAGTTGTTTGCATGACCGCTTTTGCCAAGGGTTTTGCCTTTGCCATTTTCAATCGGGTCTACGTTTTCGAGAGGGTATCGAAATTTAAATTTGAACGTAAAACCATTCTAACGATACCCATTACCATATATGCCGAACATTTGTATCAAATCACCAACCTGGCAGTGGATAGTAGACAAGAAACGGTAATCGTCACGGCTCAGCATTCACAAATCTATGTGGGCATTTTGATTGTGCCCGAAACATTGAAGGCCAAACACCTGCAGTTCCAGCCATTGGGTGCCCTGATTCACATAGATGATATTGTGGATATTTCGCTGTGTTCCTGGAAGCCCATTATAATGACGGCATGTAAGTTGGGCAAGTAGATATGTGGGGATTCATATATTTTAACTTTGTTTTTCTCCGCGCATAGCCCGCGATCAGACCGTACGCATTTGGAATTATGAAACGGAAAAAGTGGAATTGGTGCGAAAATTCCAAGTCGATGTCAATATTGTGGAGCTTAATTCCACGGGACTCATAGCAGCCATTGGCTTCTCGGATCAATTGCGTGTTACACAAATTTTTATGGAGGAATTAAATGTGAGTATGACTTTTGGAGGGAGGCATTTTTTTTAAATTTTTATACCCTCCACCATTCTATGGAGGATATATTAAGTTTTTTCAGTCCGTTTGTAACTCCTCGTAACTTGGACCCAACAAAGTGTATATATATTCTGGATCGAAGTGAAATTCTAAGTCGATTTAGCGATGTCCGTTGGTCTGCTTGTTGTATTTCGAACGAATTGAAATAAAAGGCTAAAATTTTGCAAAGATTCGTAAATGGGCCATGTCGGTCCAGGTTTTCGTGTAACTCCCATATATTCGGCATTTGTATGATTTTAGCTACATTATATAATAGAATTCTTTAAAATTTCGTACTTGAAGTTCGTAATGGGTACTACAGCCAATGATAAAAAATTACTCAAATAGGTCTTCGTCTTCGTATAGCCCCAGACGATGGAATTTTTTGAAATTTTCAAGGTCTTCCAAATAGTGGAGGGTATAAAAGTTTGACCTGGTCAAACTTAGACGCTTTTTTATTTCTACCTATAATTGTACCTCATGATTCTCGTAATTTTAAAGACATCGATCCCAATTTTAAGCCAAATCACCGGAAATTTAATACTGCGGGTTCTCAGCAGAAAGTTTACCCTATCACAAAAAATATTATAGTATATCCTCAATATAACAGAATTTCACATAGAGCCACAGTCAACTCAACCTAAAACTAAAAATAAGCATTATTTGAAGCTTAAACATTTTATAATTCTCTTCATAATCGTGTCCATTCGTTGGGCGCCACTGCCATTGTATATGGCTAATATGTTCATTTTACGGGTCATCACCTATTCAACGCTCTCTGTGAAGAGCGCAGTGTGTGTACCCAGCAAAACCAAATATCAAAATGAAAGAAATTCCGCAAAAAAAAAAACAGAAATCCACAGGATATTGATTCCGAGTTTGGTCAGAAAATGGAAAGACAATTTCAATTTCCCATGAAAATTTTTTTCGAGTTCGGTCCGACTTTGGTCCAAAAGTCGCCGAAAACTTCAGTCTTTCATCCGACCCTAAGGTTCGAGTACAAGTCAACCACTTCGTATAATTTTCGGTCAAAAGTCAAACCGAACACGTATCCGAAATTGGTAGTTTCATCCGACTTTCGGCTCCAAGTCAGACCTAACTCGGACAGTTAGCAGTGCTTAGATTTGGTTTACTCTGAGGTCCAAATCATTTGACTCTATATCTCGGAAATCCCCCACAAATATATTCCTTAATGCATCACTGTACGCCATAACACTTGGGAATTCTTGTCAATTCCGCTTACTCATTTGCATAAGAGAATCTGGAATTTCCAATATATATTTTTAACAGGTTAAGCTGGTCTTACTTGGGGCGCCAAATACAGATTTAAACCAATTGGGGCATTAAAAATTTAAATTCTATTTTTTATCACAAGTCACTTCCATACATTGGGCGCCAGTTGAGATATAAATATATAATCTCTTGTGTATAGTTCAAATTTAAAAAAAAAATTGTTGTGTTTTTCCACTAATTCAACGTTGGAAGTTAAAGCTTAATTCACACATTTGTATTTCACATTGGGCGCCAATTAGATGCCTTTATAATATTCTTGATTATATTAGCTAATATAAACGTTCTACCTAGTGTAACTCCCCCGAAAAATATTATTGGAAAGATCTCAAGTGAATATTTTACGTTGGGCGCCATATTCAACAATTTGTGTGTTGGGCGCCAATTTGGAAATAAATTTGTTTTCATAACCGGTTTGGAATTTTGCTTGGGATGTCGTACATTATATTTCAATGCAAACAATTTCTATGCAAACAATTAATTCAAAGTAGAAATTTAAATCTTAAATCATGCGCTTGTATTTCACATTGGGCGCCAATAAGATTATCCCAAATATTCTTGAGGTTGCATAGTTTTTATTTTAGCTAATACAGCATTTCCTCCAATTTGTTATTGAAAAGTTGTCTGGTGGTTATATTTTACGTTGGGCACCATATTCCACATTTTGTACCTTGGGCGCCATTTTAGAAATAAATATGTTTTTCAGAGCAGTGTGGGAATTTTATTTAGTATAACGTACGTTATGTCCCAGTGTCTCTCAATTAATTCAACGTAATTAGTTTAAGCTTAAATCACTCGTTTGTATTTTACATTGGGCGCCATTTGGATTGCTTTATATATTTTTATACATTCTTTTTATAGTTTTTTTTTTTTTTTTTTTTTTTTTTTTTTTGATAGCTAATATTGCCGTTCTACCTCGCTTAACACCTCCAAAGTATTATGAAAAAAATCTCAGGTGAATATTTTACGTTGGGCGGGCGCTATATCCCACATTTTGCACCTTGGACGCCAACTGAGAAAAAATACATTTTCAGTTCATAATTCAATTAAATCATCGTAAAAAGTTAGAGCTTAAATCACCCGTTTGTATTTCACATTGGGCGCCAATTAGACTACTTTATACGTTGATATTTCACGTTGGGCGCCATATCCCACATTAAATGTCATTATTTATATTCTATACACATAACGTCTCACCTTCATAAAAAAAGAAATCTCAACACAAGCAAAAATGTCAATGCCAACCACAATCCCCTTATTACTTCCTTTTGTCCCGCAGATTGTGAAAACCTATAACTTTCCACGCTGCAAAGATGTGAAATACTCCAATTATGGCCACTTAATGGCTGCTGCCTATAACAGCAGCATTGCCATAACCTCAGTATATAATCTGGAAATACTCATTACCCTCAAAGGACACAACGGCACAGTGCTCTCAGTGGCCTGGACCAAGAATGACAAATATCTAATATCCGGTGGCAATGAGGGTGCCATCTATCAGTGGGATGTCGATAATGGTACACGTTTACAGGAAATTGTACAAAAGGGTACGGAATATGTTTCGGTGTGTTCTACATTCAATGATCCACTCTCCATATTTGCGGTCACCAATTCGGGTATGCTAAGAGAATTTCAAAATTCGGAAATTGTGCGAGAAGTCAATATCACAGCAAGCTCCAAGTGTAGGCTAACCGATGTGTGTCTCGCCCGTTCCGATACCATTATGTTTGTGGCCAATGAAATGGGTGACTTGGTTAATGTTCAATTGCCCTTCTTGGATGCCGGCGGTGGAACCTGCACCAATTTTCGTTTCTTTATAACGGCCGTCAACAAATTACGTTTCTCCTATGACGGCACACTGCTGATGACTGTCTCAAAGGCTGGCACTTTGGCCATATGGGCATTGGAGAATATTGAGGGTAAAGTGGCCAGCATGGATCAGGATCTGCTGAAGTCACAAGAAGTCTTGATACCTCGAGCCATTTTGGCAGAGAAAAACGAACAAATTGTTAACTTGGAGACCCGTCTCAAACAACAGGCCGAGGAGTTCCAATATCAATTGTCTCAAAATGAAATATTCGATGGCCAGCAAATGGCCGAAGTACATCGTACCTATTGTCAGGCTCTGGAGGATCTAAAGCGTGTAAACAACGAAGCCGAGGAACGTCATCGCGGCGAAATGAATCAAATAACCTTCCAAATCAATGAAATGAAAGAGGAGCACAAAAAGCAATTGGACAATCTTGCCACTCAGTATTCGGAACGCATGCTCATTGAGTATCAAAAATTCACAAATCTTCGGGAAAATATGCTCGAGCTAAGAGAGAGTTATGAAAACAAACTAAAAAAGTCGGCAGGCACCCTTCAAGACACGGTGGAAAGTTTGGAAAATGATTACAAAAAGCAACTGGATGAACGTCGGGAACTTATACGAGAACTAATGAAAGAAATGGAGGAAAAGAAATCCCAATTCAATGACTACTGCAAACAGGCCGAGGAGGAAAACGAACAGCAGTTGACGGAAACCATCAAGGAATACGAAATCAAATTACTCCACGAAAGGGAGGCCACAGAGCTATGGCGTGGAAAGGCTGGAGTTTTACAGAAGAAATACGAAAGTCTGACCAAAGATGTCGATAATCTCCTGGAAGAAGTCGAAACCCTCAAGGAACAACATACCAAGTCCCAAAAGAATATTGCCAAACTGAATCGTACCATTGAAGATCTACAAAAGGATATAGCAGATCGAGATTATGCCATCAACAACAAGGAGAAACGCATCCAAGATCTGCTGCACAAAAATCAAGAGCTGGACAAATATAAACAGGTGCTCAATCATAAAATAGCCGAACTTAAAGCTCAAATCGAGCCGAGGGAATTTCAAATAAATGACAAACGTAAACACATTTTGGAGTTGGAAAACGAGTTGGCCGGTTTGAATCAAAACAATAGCCAGCTTGAGCTGCAACTCAAAGAGCTGAAGGACAAATATCTAAGCACCGTGGCCGAACTTAAAGTGGAGCGTCATAGAGCTCGTGCTGGTCGTGAATGTGTCCAGAATTTGTGCAGCGAAATCTATCACGTTGCCGGTCTCATGAACACACCGGACAAACTCAAGACTGCCGTGCGAGAACTTTTCCAACGTCATGCCAGTGATGATGAGCTGAAACGCTTTATCTCCCTGGATGCCAATGTCAGGGATGAATTCCAACGACAACGCAATCAAATCGAAAGGGTGTTGAAAATCTACAGCAAACGAGAGGAGGATAAGACACAGAAACGTAAATATGATAAGCTGTTCAAAGAGAATGTCATCCTACTGGAAGAGATTGATAAAATGCGCGAAGAGAACAGAATTCTGAGGGGTCGTTTGAAGCGGGAAATGAGTACGAAAAAACCTAAGAATCAACGTTTAGCTGCAGCCAATGGGAGACAGAAATCGGCTCCCACAAGATCAAGTGAAATAGGTGAGGCTTTGAAGGACTACAGTGATCTTGAAAATGGAGCTGTGGGAGGAGCCCTGTCTGAAAATTAATGCCAATAAATATTATTTGACGATAGATTGTAAAAAAATACATTTATTTTATATGAATCTTTTAAATACAAAATTCTTCGGATTCCCCTAAAAGGGTTCTTTGTTCATACCAAAACTCTCCATGTCAAAATATCGACTAAGGGCATGCTTATGTCACAAGATAGAATGGAAAATACCAATCTTATTAATGTTTTTATTCAATTCATTATAAATGGAATAAAAACGCCTTTTCTTTCGCATACATTTTCTTTCGTGATACCTTAACAGACCTTACTGGTTACCATACGTTACGTTTAAATATCTATGCTGCTAGTCATCGTGATATCAATCCATAGTGAATGACAAGAAGAAGAACTACATCAACAATTGATTTTTAGACCCCTTCATCTAAGCTTGCCGGTTAGTTTGTTTTGATTCCTGAACTTTATCAGCACTTCCACTTTCTCCTTGTTAAATGTTAACACTTCACTGTAAATGCCTATCTAAAGTAAGAAGAAGATAATCTAAGTATCATTTTAAAGTGAATAGCTTTTTGGAATAATGGGCTAAGGAGAAAATAATTTAATTGCACTCTCAGTTAGTTTCTTGGCCGCAAATTTACATTGCTTATTAATTCAATCATGCTGCCAGGTGTTGGTGTATTTGGAACTGGTGCAATAACAAAAGTTCTGGTGCCGATTTTACGTGAAAAAGGCTTTGAAATAAAAGCCATCTGGGGTCGTACACTGCGTGAAAGTGAGGATGTGGCCACCTCCCTAAATATTTCATTTTACACCAACAAAATCGATGATGTTCTGCTGCGAAAGGATGTGGATTTGGTGTTTATTGTATGCCAACCATATTTACACGCCGAAATATCAGTGAAGGCCTTGGGCATTGGAAAACATGTAGTTTGTGACAAACCGATGGGGCTCAATCAGTCCGATGCCATGAAAATGGTACGTGCTTCGCAATATTATCCTACATTGATATCATTGGTAAACCATTCCCTGCGTTTTCTGCCTGCATTCACTCACATGAAACGCTGCCTTACGGAGGGGTTGATTGGTCCACTCAATGAAATATCTTTAGTGGATGTGAGAGTACAACTGGGCAGTTTGTTCCCCGAAAAATTCGACTGGATGTGTGATGCGGCCATGGGAGGTGGAGCTTTGAATTTGGTCGGTAGCCATGTTGTGGATTTGGTTAGCTTTCTGCTACATCAACATGCTGTCCGAGTACATGGCGTTGTAAAGGCCTACACCAAGACTACCAATAATGTCAATGGCATACGTCAAATATCTGCCCCGGACTTTTGCAATTTTCAAATGGAACTTGCCAATGGTACACTCATCACCACATCAATTCACAGTCACACCGTGCCAGCGAAAACATTTTCACAAGAAGTTCTCATTTGCGGTTCCCAGGGTCATTTGGTGGTTAGAGGTGGCGATTTATTTATATTCAAAAATAAAACAGATCCATCACAGACCGCAAAGGAAGAAGCCGTGTATGTTGATGTGCAAGATTTACATTTTGCGACGTCAGACTCGTTGTTGCCGCGTCTCTACATTAAGGGTTTGTGCAAAATGATTGGTGCCCTAAAGGAATCGTTTGCAGTCAAGGAATCTTCATGGGTTAAGGAACCCGTACAAGCGGCTGCCACATTTGAGGATGGTCTATATGTTCAGGCAGTCTTAGAGGCTGTGCGAAAATCAAGTGAAACCAAATCATGGCAGCGGGTACAAATTACATCTGACACTCCTTCAAATCATGATCAAATAATGCGCTTTGCCCGTATGTCTACCATGTAAAAGGGTGGATTTTCAAGGTCGAAGTACTATGAAAGTATATAAAATTACCTTGGTTATAGTATTCTCTGCTTTATATGTGTATTGTTAAGTATATTCCCTATTCCTCATTTTGTACCCATTTATTTTATTTATTATATGTATGCTGTATGGAAATGAAACATACTTTTAAAATCTAGTAAAACTTTTGCATTTTATAAGTTAAAGTAATTGTGTTTCTTCTATCAGCTATATAAACAAATATTTGTTTATGATATGACAAAAGTATTTTGATAATCTTTGGATGAGTCATACAAGTCCAAGCGACTGAAATTTATACTGCTAATTAGTTTCTTTAACAAAAAGCTTTTATTCCAGGGTACTTCCTATTTCAATGTTTTTGAACCTCAGTTACTTTTGGAAAAACATTGAATAATCGAAATGTATACCTCAATTGCGATTTCTTGTTTTAATCCATCTTTATTTATGACACATGACTTTCGTTCCTTATTACTCTAAATTACTTGCGTTAGAATAAAAATCATTAGAAAAAAAATAAATTTCTAGCAAAAAAATAATAAATATTTATATTTACGTACACAGACATAGATTTGTAAATAAGGGCCTTTGGTACAACACTAGGCTTCCAGCAGAACTTTAGCTGGCTTTTCTTTGACTTTACCAACTTTGGCTTTAGCCACTTCTTCGTCGTCGCCAGCGACTTCTTCTTCCACTTCAGGCAATGTCTCACTTGGAACATCAGGCAGTGAAACAGCAACTTTTGAATCTTCCTCTGCTTCAAGGGCTTCCAACTCGGCCAGCACATCATCCTCATCTTGTTGAGTCAGAGCATCAGAAAGTATAGCATCGATTTCTTGTTGTTTTTCAATTCCATCGCGAGTCTCGTCCATAATCTTTTCGATCTCATTAATGTCCAAAATGTCATGCATTTTCTTCAGAGCAGTATTGCCCTGTTTCAAACCTTCAAGCACTTGCATTTCCACCTGGGCAAATTCTATGTCTGCGGCCATTTTTTCCAAATTCTCCAACTGTTTGTCTGTATTTGCCAGCATAGTTTCCTGATATTTCTTTTTTCGCAGCAACAGTTTTGCCCGTCTGGAATAAAGATTCCATTGAAATATTACCACGCATAAAACATAAACACGATCAACTTACTCCTTTCGTCCTTGTGCCAGACATTTCTTGGCCAATTGTCTATCGTTTTCCAGTGACAGTTCAATGCGTTTTTGATACTGTTTCAGGCGATCTCTTTGTTGTTTCAGTTGCTGGAAATAAATAGAATAGTAACACCCAGGACTGCTTGAAAAAACTCATCCCAAACTTACCAAAACTGCTTTGTCTTGTTCTGTTACTCGACTTTGTTTTTTACTTTTCGTAAACAATCCTCCCATTGCGGCCTTTAATGTTTCAGTATGTGTTGATCTCGAAAAGGACTTTTAAGTGAAAGGCAGGAATTTTGTTGTTAATATAAATGTTTTAAAAATTATTGTTTTTGTTGTTCTTGCTGTAGCAAACGAATGATGTGTTATCAATTTTTTTTCTTCTACAACAGGGATGGATATGTTAGTTCACAACAGTAGTCAGCTGTTTTGTTAAAACAAACAAACAAAGGAAAATGAAAATATGAGATTGGATTAAGGGTTTTAAAGATCGATTTCGTGCCACATAAGAAAAGTTAAACTGGAGCTGTTTCGTGTGGCAATATACCCCCTACCTCTCCAAAAGAGAGTTCGCCAATTATCCCCTCCCCTTTTTCCCTCCTTTTTTGTTCCCAACGCGCTTAGGGATTTAAAAAAAAAAAACTGGAGCTGTACTAGTTGTACTCTATAACGTACTTTGTTATGATATCTTTAGAACTGAATTTAATATTTTTATAAAGGATATTTTTTCCATTGTTTTATTTAATTTTATTTAGGTGAAGACCGCATTTTGTCTGAAGTGTGAACTTTTTTGTGTGCAAATTATATGGAGCCTTGAAAAGACACTATGCCTATTACTTTGCACAGATGACAAAAGTACCATATTAATAAGGTTTCTACTTGGCTAATATAAGTATTATGTTAGTTCTATTTATTAATAAAATAAACATAGAGCCTAAAGTATTAATAGCGCATATAATAATAGATTATTGGATTTATTTTAAATTCTATATTTTCTTAATATTCTATCGTTATATGTTCTTAAATTGAACATTAACACAATGTTTCGTGCTGAACAATCCAAACACAAAAGTGAATCGCCCACCCCTTTACGACCGCCAATTTAACCTTTTGTAGTTATGCCACTTCTCTAATCAACGATGAACATGGTGTTTTCATTGTGAGAGGCCGAGAAACACTTGATTAACATTTGTCTGTTGTCTGAGCAACAAATAAATTTGTACAACAACCTAACAGATATTTCAGAAAGAGTTAATGGCAATATAAATAAGTTAAGTTAACTGAAATTCTATTCAATAGAGGCAATATCGAACAAGCAAAATGTTCAAATCTTTAGTTGGGTTCAATCACTCAATCGGCCATAATCTCTTAAATTATTCGCTTTTCAGAATGGTAAGAAAATAATTAACATGCAGATGAATATTTTGGAAAAATTCGAAATGATTTGCTTGTTTGACAGGCATCGCAGCTGGTCAAAGTGCAAGTTAAACAGGGCATTGTCGTTGGTAAACAAAAGCAATTGCCGAATGGCGGTGTTTATCAGAGTTTCCAGGGTATTCCATATGCCGTGCCACCTGTTGGTCCTCTGAGATTTAAGGTAATGCTTTATTTATTGTATTTTCATAGAGAATTTTTAATAAATTTATGTTCGCTCTGATAGTCTCCATTGCCATTGGAAAAATTCGATGTCGCAGAGTTGGAGTGTCTCAAAGAACGCGATGTGTGTCATCAACGTGATCCTATTACTACAGACATCATTGGCTCTGAAAATTGTCTTTTCCTTAATGTATATGCACCCAAGAAGGGTACATCCTCGGGGCCCTTACCTGTTATGGTCTGGATTCATGGCGGTGGTTTTTGGTTTGGAAATGGTAACAGTGACTAGTAAGTCAAGAAATTTTAATTTATATGCTCTTTTTTCGGGGAGATGTATTTGTGAATATCCATGGAAAATATTGCACGTGCGACCAACAATTCTGTTAATTCCAATTGGTAAACATATCACAATCACATTCTAATGAAAACTCTTAACATTTTTATGTTGGCAGTTACTTACCCTTATCGCTGCTACAGGAAGACGTCATCGTTGTCACACTCAACTATCGTTTAGGGGCTTTGGGTTTTATAAGCCTACCCGAAGAGGGTATTTGGGGCAATGCTGGCTTAAAAGATCAGGTAATACCCAGCAAGCTATTGTATCAGTCAAATAAATTTTATATGATCCCATTTTTTTGTAGCGCTTAGCCTTACAATGGATACAAGAAAACATTGCACAATTCAATGGTGATCCGAATAATGTCACCCTCTTTGGCGAATCGGCTGGAGCTGCTGCAGTTCATCTACACATGTATGCAGATCATGCACACAAATTATTTCACAAAGCCATAATGCAAAGTGGTACTGCCAATATGGAATGGGTATTTCAAAATAATCCAGAATACAAAGTTCGTAAACTTGCCAAGGAAATGGGGATACAGAGCACAACAGACACAAAGGAGCTCTTAAAATTCCTTCAATCACCAAAAATCACACCTCTACATATGTTAGAAAAGACTTTAAGTACACTGACTGCCGATGAAAGAAGACGTCAATTGCCACTGCCGTTTAAGCCAGTCATAGAAGATTCTCAAAGTCCTGATGCCTTCATTAAACAACCCATATTGGATAGACTAAAGCAAGCTGACAGTGTTGCTATACCCAGTATAATGGGATACAATTCGGCCGAAGGTTTGGCCATGATGGTAAATGCAATGCGTAAAGTAGAGGAATATGACCGAGATTTCAAACGCATGGTTCCCCGCAACATTCCCTTGAATCCAGATGATCCTGAATTGGAAATTATAGCCCGTCAAATGCGAGATTTCTATATGAATGGACGGTCGCTGTCACCCAAAGTTTTTAATGAATTAGCAAATATTTTAACAGACTATCACTTTGCAATAGATATGCAACTGGCAGCTGAATGGCAGGTGCGTCTACAACCTAAATCTCCATTGTATTTCTATCAATTCGATTACGTGGGAGGTCGTAATTTCTACAAAACAATACTGCAAATGAGCAAACTGAAAGGAGCTTCACATGGAGATGAATTGTTCTATCTATTCCAAATGGCCGACAATGAAGATATGGGCAGCGAAGATGATCGACGAACTACCAAGCAAATGTCTGAGTTATGGGCTAATTTTGCCAAAACTGGTAATCCCACACCCGAGCCTGGTGCTGTTGGTTGTACGTGGAAGGCTGTCAACACAGGACTGAGTGAAAAAGATACCTTTAATTTAAATTACCTCCTGATAAACGGCAAACAGTGCCAAATGAAGGAAAATCCCGACAAGGAACGCATGGAATTCTGGCGTGGCATTTATGAGAAATATTCCTCACCCATTGATTACTCCAAATTAAGTTCAAAGTTGTAAAAAGGAAACAATGGAATATGTTTTTTGTTACATTTAATGAATTTGTATTCTGTTTTGTTTTTCATTTTATGTTTATATCTATATATAGGTATTGTTTTATTTAATTTAATTTATTTGACTAGTTTGGGGTTCTTCTTACATTCTTTTTTGTTTGTTTAAATATTGGTTTTTAAAAGCTTTGTACAAATCATAAAAAACGCAAATAAACAAATCAACTTCTTGGTTTCTCCTCTCTGTCTGTCTATACATAAACGCTCATTCTCAAAAATTATATAAATATTATTTTGCAAATAATATTTCCGTTTTTGCTCCCAATGCAAAAATGTTGATGCGTTTCGTTTTGTTTAACATAACTAAATTACTTTTTGGATTATCCGCTTAGTTTACAAAATATATGTGTATATATAGAATGAATCGATTACAACTTATAAACAAATTACAATAATTTGTCGCTTTGATTTTAGTAAAACTTATCTTACATTTGTTAGCTGAACTAGTTATCTTACAAGCTATAAAATCATTTTTCGAAGAGTTTTGTTTTTCTCAATACCATCTTCATTTTTCGCCACTTCATTAATATTTAATTGCGGCCCACCATCGTGTACTTGGAAGGGCGCGCGTAGCCATCAATGCCTATCTAAACATTTAAAAGCGCTTCAAAGCAAATGTCCTCTTTAAATATAGACATATAGCCCTGTGTATCAACTCATACTGTTCGGAGTTTTGTACCATTCCACCCCTTTGCAAACGTAAATTACATACAATACCCAATACATCAACGAAAATGTTGGGCATTTTTGGCAGTTCGGCAACGGAAGGAAGTCTCCATTTATCCTCTCCAACGGTGTTTGGATCTTCGCGATCTTCGTGTGGCGACAAATCACTATCGCTGCAGTCTCCGTGGCTTTCATTGGATACTGCCGGTTGTTGCTGTTGTCGCTGCTGTTGTTCCTGCTCTTTAATTTTCTTTTCCATTTTCAAAATATAACGCATATACAGCAAGGTATTGCGTGTAAAACTGCAATCGATATCTGTGGGCATGGGAGCCTCCAGCAGTAATACATCCTCTTCCAGAAATTGGCGCGGCAAACGGAAGTCTACTGGACTTAAAGCCTGTGCTGATGTTGCTTGTTTCGCCGCTTTGGCCGCCATGGAAGTCAGCGAGTAGGCCAGAGATTGTCTCACCTGGCGAATGCCATTCAAAATGGCTGTCATGCAACCAGTGCGACCTATACCAGCCGAACAATGGATGACCGGTAGAGGTTGCACAGCATTGAATATATCCTGCTGATACAATTCGGTGGATTGGGCATTAACATGGGAGGGAGGTGTCACATCAGCGTCACTAAACACTTCAAACTCTGATTCACATTTACCCAAATTGGAGACATGCAGCGATATGTCCAGTAGTGTATTGATATCCCTCGGCGAACGGTGATCTGGCCAGTCTGGATACCAATAGTGATAGCAAACAAATTTGTTAATCAACAAATAGGGAATATTGACCACATCCGTGAAGTTGGCACAATACAAGATGAGAATTTTCCTAATTGAAAATCCATTCTTCTTCACAATTCCCACATTTTTCATAACAAAGAAGCTTTTACTGTTCGGCAAATGGGTTTTAAGTTCATCATTTACTTCCACTTTGCTGCAGGCGATATTTATTATTTTCACTGCGGTTCCCTCAGACTCATCGATTTCCGTCGCCATGGCTTCTTCACTCAGATAGGGGCAAATGAATTCAGTGAATTTTTCACTGGCTTGGACAACTTCTTCCCGCGGTGTTGTAATAAAGATTTCATTTAGCTCCACCGGAAAGTAAACCGAACATTTCTGTCGATTGTTCTCCAAGAAATTGGTGAGCATTACTATTTTCTGATAATACTGTTGCAAGAGCTTGCCTTGTCGTCGGCTAGGACTATCCGGACCCTTAGATATTTTGATATATTTCTTGGTATTCTGGTAGATCATTAGCCAAAATTCGTAAATTGTATTCGGTAAAGGGCCTTGAGTGGCTATGTAGCATTTGGAAGTATAGTCGGGACCCTGTAAGAAACAAAAAAGTAAATGAGTTGTATTTTTTAAAATAAATATAAAACCTTTGTCTTGGTATCGTTTTACTCACTTTAATATAGTTGGCATTGATGTAGGGCACTTCCTCGGCAACTAACATGGATGGTTTTGTCAAGCCATCGATCAGCGTTTCCTCGTCCACCTCTGGAATGCCACCACAACAGTTTTCCATCATTTCCATTAGTAGCTTCGACTCCTTTTCCAAGATAACTCGAGAATTCTCATTTGGCAATATCGTTTTGTAACGATTTTTGGTCTGCGAACCAAAGACCATCGGTTTCTCCTGGTGATTCAATGGCAAATCCCAAAATTCCTTGTGCAAATTCAAAAACATTCGTTTCTGCTCCTCCTCGTCTGGCTGCAGTGTCTGCAGAATATCTCGAACCACTTGCATATATCGTTCGATAATTTCACAATCCTCCGAATTGGAAGTCATGGCCGGTGGGGGTGTTTCTGCTTCTTTGCTCGATTGGTTGTGCGTTGACATTAATATGGGTATACTTTGGTCGGCTATTCCCTTGGAACGTGAGGCATAACTGTTATCGAATATATAATTGAGTTTGATTAAATCGTTTTGATTCAGAGCATTTGAGGCGTTTTGCAGCATTTGAATATTGGCCAAATATATTTTAAACTCTTCGCTTGTGGTCTGGGGGGAGAGGGGCTTTGTCATGATGTTGCGTATACTGGGACATGTGCAAACCGATGTCTCCTTGAAATCGAAATGTTCGACCTGTGTATTGGTATTGTCGTCACGCAAATTATGCGAAGAACCTCGGTCCGGGCTAGGTTTGAGATCGTTTACCGAACCGAAACATAGCTGATTGGCATTTCGCTTGTGTGGTGGATTCAATTCGCCAAACTGTGAACTATTGTTACGATTCAAGCTTTCACTGCTAAAGAAACGCCTTTGATGGGAATGAACAGAGCAGTTGGGCATCAGTGTAGAATGATGATTGGATGCTTTGATTTCTTCTTCGGCCTTTGCAGCATCTCCCAAATTTATGCTACTGTTGCCGAGAGCTCCACGATCGCTGCCAATGCCTCCAAATGAACTACTCATATTGAGCGTTAGACTTTGATTTGAGCCCCTTCTCTCGAGCAGACCTCTTCGCGGTGTTGTGGTAAGCGAGGCATTTGCTATGGGTCTGGCTAGACTTGGTAACTGTCCTGATCTCTCAACATTCAACGAGTTTTGGCTAGCAAATGAATTCAAATTACCGCAGGATAGATTGGTGAGGGTAAGACTTTGATTGGATCCTCGTCTACGGAAAAGACTTTGTCTTGCACCTTGGCTTGTTACGGTTGCGGTGGTGTTTGTTGTTTGTGATGTTTGTGTTGTTGACAAATTTAAATTACAACTGGATTTCGAATTCAAGTTATTGCTGGAGTTACCCACAGAGCCGAGACTGTAATTGGATACCGAAAGTCCCGATCGACACGAACCGAGGAGATTAGAATACGATTGGGAGTGAAGATTCAATGTAAGACTGTGATTGGAGCCTCTCCTTTGTAGGAGATTGGTGGACGACGAAGAATTCGGTGGCCTGCCTCCTGCCAGTGGGGCAACTGCTGTGGATGAACTTGGCAAATCCATGGACTTTTGTTTATATGGATGGTCGCCACCCATTGCCGAGGCCGTGGGTGTTGAAAATTCCACCAGAGTTAGAAATTCAGGTAACGTCTTTAGATTTGTATTGGAGTTATGCAGCAATGGATTGTGTTTATATGGTGTTCTAAGAGCCGATGACGGAGTGGATGTACAAGTGCTGGAGTTGGGAGTCTGCAATGCTGAATAACTGTGAATCTGCTGTTGTTGCTCGGGCGACACCTCTTCATCTTCCTTCAAGATGACTACTAGTTTTGCGTCGTCGCGTTTCTCTGTCAACTTTTTATTAATGGGATCCGGTATGACATGATGGAAAGTCGGATGTTTTCTTTGATGCAGTTGCCAGTCCACACTATTAGAGTTGGGTATTCTCCGACGTATATTTTTATTCAATTTTGCGCTATTGCCAGCACCGTGGCCGATGGAAAGCTGCGACATTGAAGTAGATCGTGTATTGCTCGGGTGGTGTGAGCGCAGTCGGTCATGTGAATGTACTTCTAAACGATTAGAGCTTCCGCTTAAGTTTGAATCGATTTCATCACAGCTTAGGTATAGTTCTGGTTTTATCATAAGAGTGGACTTGATGGCGGTGCCACATTCCTTGGCCGAGTGTGCGGAGTCCAATGACAAAGCCTTTTCTTTGGTTGATTTAATGGTGGGAGTTTTCGGTTTGTTACTCGAATTCGGTGAGGGTGGGGGTTTTTCGTAACAGGGTCCAGTGGTAGTACCGGACATGGAAGAGGACCCAGTGGTGCTGGCGGTGGAAGATGAATTGTTTATTATTTTTATCGTTAGATTATTCTTGTTTTTGCGGTTTCTTTTGGTTTCGATTTTCGGTAGAATTGCACTTGTTGTTGTTGGTTTGATTTCCATTTCCGCTTCATTTAACGATTCGTAATTCGAATTCGGTGTGGAAGTCGTTTGGTTGTCGTTCGAGGATGATTTCCGTGTGAGATTTCCACGTTTATGATTGTCTTTGCTGCTGCGACTGACACTGGAATTGTCATCCAGGGCGGTGGCGGCAGTCGATCCAGTCTGGCTTGACGTTTCCTGCTGCACCACATGGTCAATTTCGGGAAACTTGAAATAATTGCCGTTTTTATAGCCAGCCGAGCTTATAACTCCCAACGGCGAGCCCAAGTGGAGATTATTGATGGACGTCAATAGCTTGGGAGAGTATGATAAACGTCCCGATGATATCATGGCTGCCTCCGATGATGTCAGAATTCTTGGGGAGCCCGTTGTCTCATCGAGGACTAGACTAGGTGAATTGTTGCCACCACTGTGACTCTCGTCGTGTTTGTCTGTTGCCTTTGTCTTGGGCTTGGTGTTTTCCTTGTCAGTATCCACAGTGCATTCCACAGACGATGCGTTTTTGATTATCAAATGTTGTGGTGAACAAGATCGCCGTTCGTAAAGCGAAAATCGTCTATATTTGCCCTTTACTTTCGGCGATGATGGCTCTAAATGCTTGATTAGGGCCGCCGCTGCTTTTGGCGTGCCTGGTGCAGCTCCAGATAATTGTAATATTCGGGGGCTTTGTTGGTTATCTACGACTTGATGATGCTGCTGCTGATGATGATCTTTCGAGGGCATACTTTCCAATTCACTGTTGTTAGTCTTGGCAAAGGTTTGAGCATTACTAGACGGCGTTGCAGCAGCTGCTGATGTGAGCTGGTGTTCCGCTGATGTTGTGTCCGGCAGACGTGGCGTCGGAAACTCAAATGGACTCTGTATAAATTCCATAGGTGTGAAATACGGTGTACTTTTATTACTTTCGGTGTCATCGTCGTCGTCATCATCCTCGTCCTCATTGTTGGTGGGAAATGAATATTCAAAGGCAGTGGTTGTGCTGCTGCTACTGCTGCGCATTAAATCCTCTTGACCTCGCTGCATGTTTTCGGCTTCACTGTTATTGTTGTTAAAGTTATAGTTGTTGTTATCCATATCCACACTATTGCGGACGTTGACTATCGCAAGCTGTAGCGACTGGTTGTATATTTATTGGTGTGCGCGATATTCTACAATGCCGTAGCCGATGTTGTGGGTGTTGTAATCTAGGTAGCCGTAGTAAACTCTTAAAAGGATAGCAGAAGCGCCGCTTAGTCTGGCAAACATATTCATATAGCTGTGATAAAGAAACAACAAAAATTACAGGTAAATTCAGTTTCTAGTGCTCAAGGTATATATGTTGTACGTACTTACTAGTTAAACATAATCCTTAAGATAAACACGTTTGTTTATTTAAAATAGTCTTGGTTTATTCTTAGAAGTATTCCCATTACGGGTTACTCGGTTAGTGGCGCTGTCGTTTACTACCTTTGCGATAATTTTGTTTCTATTGATAGTCGGTTGTAGGAAACCGCCTATCGGTCGATCAATTGCCGTTATTTGGTCAGGTAAATTGTTTTGGCTTCACACCCACACGCTACGATGTGTGGAATAGGAGCCTGCTTCGAGTAAATTCATATGTTATTCGTTTTCAATTTCAATTCTTCCTTTTTGGTTTCCCTAGAACTCCTGCTGTGGGCATTGCACAAAAATCGCAGGTCATATCTGAAACGACAAATGTTCACAATAAATATATAGGTACTTAGTCATATTTAATGTCATTAATTAGATTTGTTTATGGTGTGGCTTTTAAGTGGGGTTGGGGTTGCTTTTAAGTGTACTACATGTATATCTGCCTTGAGAGCTCAGAAGATGAGGTGGAGTAGATCTTTGAATGATGCGTATTAATAGAGTATTGAATTGGCTTGTAACCCTCGAACCTCTAAGGCCACTGACTGACACTTGTTGAAGAGACAATAAAAGGATTTAAATTTCGAGATATTTTAAATCCTTAAGTCGAAGCATGACTATGAATGAATAACAAGCACCCGTACATATACCCAAAAATCAACCAAAGAACTCCCATCTAGATTCCTAGTTAGCAAGCCAGCAAGTTTTTCCAAGATTATTTTCGCTAAGCAAAAAACGACAAACAAACAAAAATGGATGCATGCATTCTTAATACAAAATTAATCTATCAGCAAACCATTCATCGTTCATCTTATTTTTCATCTAGCTGCTGCTGTCTGTATGTGTTTTTGTACATACATATGGTATGTACAAGTGTTTGTATATTTCACCTAGAAATCTTTAATGAATCTGGAATGTATTTGCTGATTTGCACATTGAGTTAATTCTACGTACAAATATAGCCATCGATAGTGATGGTGGCTGGCAATGGGGGGCAGGGGGATTTTTAATAACAAAACGGTCAATAAAAATAATTATAAACAAAAATTGCTATTAAACATAAGTATGCGCAATAAAATAAACTATGAACAAGTCGGGAAAAGTAAATAGAAAATGAAATTTGCAAAGTGAGATGCTGCTGAGATGAGGATGAGGAGATACGCTCGCTGGATAGCGCGTTTTGTCGAAAACAACAAACAAACAACAGTGCTAAGGTGAAAATTCATCTCCTCGATATATCTCGCACAAAGGCCAAGTAACAAACAATTCGCGCAAGAGTAATTGGCAATGACAGCAGCAGCACAAACAGTAATTTGTTTTCCGTTTTCTCATTGCTGTTGCTTTTGTTGTTATTGCTTGTGTGTTGTTGTTGTCGACGTAGACGTCGTATCTAAAAGATTTCTATTTTCGTTACAAAACTCATTCAGTTAGACCCCCACAAAATACAAAAAAATAAAAGCTGATCGGCTAAGATCGGAGCAGATGCTGGAGGTGCGATGATGATGAGTTACCCTGTCCAATTTGTGGCTTACCGATCAATGATGGCTGGGCACAGCGATGATGCTGGTATTGTTTATTTAAATAAGTGATCCGCGCTGAACAAATGACAAGGGGTATTTATTTTGCATTAATCCACCAATGCAAGCAAATATCTATAACTTATGAAATAGGTATTTCTTCTTATTTGTGATTTTGAAAACTCCAACTTCGCACTAGACTTTGCCTTCCACATAAAGTTGGATTTGTGGCACCGAACAATGAATCCTTCATGCTATTTTGATGTCTTCAAATGGCCGCAACTTCTTTGGCAGCTGGTCGATTATGTTCCAAGGCGCATAGCAAAGGGAAGAACAAAGTGCTGCTGCTGCTGCTTGATTATCAACACCAGAAACAAGGTGTCATAGCCCGTCGTCGTTCGTATTACAATTACAACAATTACAAAAACAATATTCACATAGATTTTTTTTCTTCGTCGTATGGTTCCACACAGAGTATTTTGCTGCTGGAAATATTCGTTTTTTTTTTTGTCTATATGGGGTACGTTACGCTGAATCGAGTATTTTGTCATAGATCTAATCACATTTCGATCGGATATTGTTTCCTTACATCGAGGCCGAATTATTTCTATGAATAAATTCCAAAATGGTAGTATTATTTTTTTGTATTTGTTCGAACGTTCTTAGTTCTTATTGAAGCAAACACAGTGAAAAAATATATACACAATAGAGAGTGAACTAATTTCTGCTCGGATTCCAACGAGTGGAGCAATGTATCTAACAGATACAGAGATTGTGACGAGTATCTATTACTCGCTCAACGGCTGTGTTCAGTAAGCATATGTGCGTGGGGTGTCGTTGAAGTTCAATCAATATTTTACGAACATATGTAATGCGTTTTTGTTCAATTAATAGATCAAAAAAGCATTGTAAAGAAAATATTTTATATTTCATGTTTTTATACAACAAGAATCCATCCCAGGTCCATATTTTCAAAGCTAACAAATAATAGCGTTATAAAAATAATCATTTTTAATATTTCCCAAATTGTAATAAAAGTTATATCATTTTTTGAATCGTACAATATTGAAATATTGTACACTCGACGTATTTCGGTAATATTCATAGAATTCACGTCAATTGTAGTGAATAACGGTAAATTACATAATGATCTCACATTAAAAATGTTAACTTCTTTTGCTTTGTTCCAAAAACTGCAAGAATTTACTATTTATGCAATTTTTTTCGATCTCATGAAGTGAAAATCGGTTATCGTAGTAAAAACTTTTATATTCTTGCAATTTGAGAGCAGACCAATACTTTTAAACCTATACAATATGGAATAAATTAATAACACGAGGATTATTAACATGTTTTATCATTCCCTTTTCTGTATTTTTTTATATTTTTCTGTTAAATTGAAAACACAAGCAATTTTTCTCCATTTCCATTCCCCTTTCCTCGCTCTCCTCGTGTTAGTTTGATTAAACTTTGAAAAATATATATTTTGTAGGCCAAATGTATACATATTAAAATTTAATTTGATATTCCCTCTTGGTGGAATGTCAAAGACAAAAGTAAAAAAATGGGACAAGAAAGTGTCAAATTACTGTCACCTTGAGAAAATAACACTGTTGTTGTGACATCAAACCTCTAAGATAATATGCAATTAATTGAAATAGAAAATGGAAACCATATTTTCGAAATACTCAAACTTTTACTTGTCATTCTTTTCTATAATTGTGTTTTTATATTAACATGCCTCTTTCGTGAGCCTTTATTCAAGATAGTATAACAATAAACCGTTTTCTCAGAATACATTTTGTCCAGTCTTTACCCTTTTATGTCCTTGTGGATGTCCTCAACATAATTACATCAATAAATTTTACACCAATGTGCTTGATTTTCGGTTCCAGTCTCGAAACACTGTGCAACGCAAATGTCTCTCGCAGTTACAGGCGTTTTTATTCTTTGAACCTTCTCTTGCTTTAATGGTTCCTCTATTATCTATGTTTTACTAATCAAGAGTAGACCTATGTGCCCCTAAACGGGATCTTTCATGTTTTGAGTTTGAAAATCGGTTAACATACTAAAAACCTTTAAATTCTTGCAGTTCTGGAACAGACCATAAATTGAACAGGACACAATAGCTGAACAGGAATTTGAAATCGACTATGGATAGTCAAGTACTCGGTTTTCACCCAAGTCCATAGTCGAGTTTCAGAGCTTTGGGTACTCGAAGTCGATACGATTCGACTAATCGGAAGTCGACTTACCTATCCTGATACTGGTTCCGTGCTCTTTTTGGTGAATGTGTTCAACAATATATATTGTCAGCCTTTCTGTTATGATTCCCATCTTTATCAGATTTTCTTTCTGTGCTGTCTTTCTTTTCAGTGTTGCCATATTGTATTGTCCTTTGTTCGTTACTTCACTTTTTTTTTCTCGGTGGCGTCGGTTTGGTAAATTCAAGTTTTAAATTATTTTTATCGTATTTCGTATAAAAATTTATATATAAATATCTAGGAACAACTGGAACAAATGTGTATATGTGTGATTTGAGATTGTGCGTGATTTAAAAAACAATAAAACAAATCCGACCACCAACATAACCTCCAATAATTAATAAAAAAAATAATTTTATTATATTAATAAAATTAATATAATTTAATAGGACCTATGCTTTAACGTCTTTAACCAAACTAACCTCCTTTCAGCACCCCTAACAAACAAATCAACCGAACCAACCAAATATCCCTAATCCAATATCCAATTGGTTGTTCATGGTCTAATAAGACCCACCAATTGAAGTGAAATTGCTGTGCTAGTCCAGTCCATCTGCCGGTCTTGGTTTACACTCATCGACTCATCGTACAAGGCTATGCCTGGAAAGTGCAGTGAACATTTTTGACCTACCTACAGTCTAGATTATTCAATGGAATATTCCATTTTAAAATGGCCGTTTGAAGGCCATAATTCGTGCCAAAGGTGACCGATTCAAACAAATCTTAACTTATTCTAAAATTTGATGCTATTTCCGACATTTTTTGCTTCCATTCAATAAAATTAAAAAAAGTCAAAATTATGTCGTTTGACTTTGTTTTAGTTTTTTTTATCTCACCCTGTATAATACCCCTAGTATGTTTGGTATTAAAAATGGGACATATAGGTTCACGTTTCGGCAAGGCCCTCATATAGATTTACTTCCTGATATTCGGTATTTTGAATGTTTTGAGCAAAGAACTGAGAAAATCTATCCCTACTTAATTTTGTGAAGATAAATTCACTATTATATATTGACCACATATAAAGGCACTTCCAAATTCTAGATATTTTGAGAATGTCTCTCTTCAAAATTTTGAGGGTTTCAGACAGAGTTCTTTACAAATTTATTATTTGGCTTTTTATTTCTCAATGGATAAAAACTATAAAAATTGACAATATAAAACCACCCATAACGTAGGTCTCTGTGTGGCTCAATGAGTTTAGACCCTCCAAATCAGAGATACATTTAAAGAAAGCATTTCGTACTTCTATTCAAGTTTTTTTGTTAAATTTTTATATCAGCAACAAATAACAAAATTGCGTTAAGCCAGAATAAATAATTCATCCTTTAAAACCCTTCTTAAATCTGAAGACAAAAATACTACATATTTTATGAGAATAAAATATATAAAAAATATGTATAAAAATTGGCTGGCAATTAAGCCTTCCTGTTTGAGTACTCATTGGATTTAAGTACTCGAAGTCGATTATTCGATTAATCGAAAGTCGACTTACATATCCCTAGTTGGAAAAAATATAATTCGTATAAAAACATAAAAATTGGCTTTTCAAAACCTCCACTACGAATAAAACGAATAAAAACACGAAAATGTTGAAAACAAAGTGATAAACATCTATAATATCTCGTCAAAAATGTAAATGTTGGTAAAATTTGAAAATTAGATTTCGTCTACAACAACAACCAAACAACAAAGGAAACATACCCAAAGACGTTGATGTTGAAAAAAAAAAGAAATATTAAATATTTGTTTTGTAGTAAAGCCAGCTACGAAAATCAAAGTGTTTCGGTAGATAGCTGCGGTCAATCCTTTGCCAATTGTCTATTGAAGGCCAATTTGTATAAACAAATACAATTCACGGGGTTCGAGATAATCCACAGAAGTGATTTGAAATTAAGCAATAATTTAATAATTAAATCAAAAGTGATTCATCGTATCATTAAGACACACACTCCACACCGCTGCCGCTCCACGAAAGCCTGAAATCTTCAGATACGGTTGGGTAACACTAAATGCTATCCGGCGGATAAACTTTCTTCATTCTTAATGTCGATTTAGTTGGTTAACACTCTTGCCCTCTACACCACTCTTTTGCCGGCAGCTAATTGAACGATGCTAAAGTCGAAGTAGGAGGTAGATTGATATCAGCTGTCAACAGCTTAGAAGCAGAAAGTCAATTTTTTTATTTGAATTGGGTTACTGTGTATGCACTATAACATGGATTTGGTGGATATTGATCAGGTTTTGGACAATTTGGAGCTTCATGAGGAAGCCGCAAATGAACAACAACGAAAAAGACTAGAAGAGACCAAGCAGAAGGAAACACTAACAACCCCACACAAGGCAGCACCAAATGGATTTGTCTCGCAAACAAAGGATGGAACTGGCTTCAAAGCTGTTTCACAAGTCTTCAACAGTTTAGATGACTACTGCAAGAATGTGGAGTCATTGGAGACAACTGTTATCTCTGTCTCGTCACTAAATACTAATGAAGATTTCGTTAGTCGGCCAACGGAGTTTCGAGAAAAGTTAGGGTTTCAGCCATCACAGCTGGTAGCTTCATCTCGTCAAGAATTGGAAGAATATGAACATGAGGTCGAAGAGAGTAAAGATATACATAAATTCACTGAAAAACCTCGTAGTAGAAATAAGTTAACAGCTGCGGCATGTGATAGCAAAGATTCTCCTGACGAATCTACAAATAGTCAAAGTTCCGAGTCATTGACAACGTCGTCAAATTCTACATTTTCCTCGGGCCCTTCTTTGGAGCCTGAAGATTCTCTAGAAGAACCAAGTCCATTGGCCAACTCCCCCGAAGATGTTGCAGAGGAGAAAGAAATACATGAAACCACAACAGAAATGGTCAGTGGAAGTAAAGTGGAAGAACTTGCTGCCAAAGACGACGAAGAAGAAGGACCGTGTGATTTTTCAACTGAAGATCAATCCCATGTTCCTGCTGGCGATGATGAAGAATCCACCTACCTTAGCGAAATTTCAAATTCTCTTGATTTAATTCAACAAAATTTGCAAAGCACAGCTAATGTAGAAGATCTGACTCAGGGTCTTTCATCCATTTCACTCACAAGTGCAAATCTGCAATCGCAATCAGTTATGCATTTGGAGACATCACTGTCCTCGTCTATGGGAAAAGTTTTGGAAAATCTTTCAGATACCAATTTGAGTTCAGTTATAAGCCAAACCAGAGACATGCCCATTGCGGCAAATAACACACCTAATGATGAATCTTCTGAGGCAGCCAATACTTCGGTAGAAGTATTAAATGAGCAATCTGTACCTGACATCCAGAATCGAGAAGAACAGCAGCATGGCAAGGAACTACAGCCACAACAAGTCCAGCAAATCTACGATTACAATCAGGCAAAATATGAGGACCCTAATTCTGTTGTACAGCAACCGGTCACATTTTGTTCCACCATGGATGAGATTTCAGATGCTGAGTTGGATTCTATGTTGCAAGAAATGGATATAGATGATGAGGCAGTTGTAGTGCCCTCCCAAACAAAGGTTGAAGGATCCAAAGAAGACAGCCATGAAAATGACCTGAACGCCGTTTCCCAAACAATGTCTCATGTGGAGGACAGGGAAGTCAATATTTATGCCGAAAATCCAGATGATGTTTTGTCAAATATTAGCTCTGGAGATCATCCCAATGGCGACAGTTTTTCTCAAGCATCAACTGTTGAATTTTCTGAGATAAGACCTCAGAATCAACAGGATCTCCCAGAGTGTGAAGATAACATGGGCATCAGCTCGGCCGTTTCATCTTATAGTAATAGTGAATCATCCTCTTTGGAAGGTGACATTATACAGGCTAAGAGTCTTGAAGGCGACGACTCTGATCCTTCACGACCCCAAAGACCCACATCCTTGGATTTACCAGCTATACAGGCCCTCGACATTTATGCCAATGCCGGTCAAACTCCACCAGGCGTAGAGCAGACTAATCCGACAGACTCAAACCCTGTACCGCGGGAAGAGGACGGCTTACAAGGTACAATGCCACCCCACGAAGAACCCAATGCTGTTAGTGCGCCAGCAAATGAAATAGCTGAAGCTACAGGCTACAGTGAAGATCCACATGCCAACTTGGGTAAAATTCCTCCTATATGGGTGCCAGACAATATGGCCACCGGCTGTATGCAGTGCGCTGCCAAATTCACAATGATAAAACGTCGTCACCATTGTCGTGCATGCGGCAAAGTCTTATGCTCAGTTTGTTGCTCGCAGAAATTCAAATTGGAATTCCTAACTGAACCGGAGTCGCGTGTGTGTGTCCAATGTTATTTAATATTGACACAGAGACAGACGGGGCAGCCAACCGCAAGTAATACAGCCACAGGACCGGGACAAGTTGGAGCTGCTAGTAGCCTAAATAGATCGCCAAACCCTAATAACCCCATGGAATACTGCTCAACCATACCACCATATCGTCAGGTTAGTGCTGACGCCAAAACACCACCTTCAGTTATTGTGCCAGTGGGGGTTCTGAAAAAAGACAATGGAAGTTACTCTTCCACATCGTCTAACTCTAGTGGCCAGAAGGCACGCAAACGAAAGTCGGTAATGTTCAGCGATGGCATTGCACCGGGTAGTGATTTGGCCAGCATAGATCAATGGAATGAACAGCCCAAACAGGCGAGAAGACAAAATTCTGCAAATCGAAATGTGAGCAACAATAAACCTGCTACGCCTCGCTCGGAATATATAACTGATGCTACGACCATGGGTTTGGTGGCACAACTGTTTAGAGGGTCTATACCACCAATGGCAGCAGCGGCAACCCTAAATACAGCTAGCCAGCAAGCAGCCACGGGATCTCCAACATCAAAAGGTAATGCTAAGAATAAAATGTAACATTGTGGATTTTTATACTTAATCTTGTTCTTATTATTTGTAGCTCTCAAGCCAGCTAATCAAAATACTAGTAGCTCTTCGCCTGTAAATGGAGCTAATAAGACGACAGACTCAACAAGTCGCCCTAAACGCGTGCCCCCTTCTGGCTGCGATGACAATGGCTGTTTTATACCCGAAGCTAAGGACAGTTTGCCACCCATTGTTGTTACGAAAGACGAAGCTGGTTGTGATTTTGACTATAAGGATGTGGTGAATAATTACGATTTAGTCAAGCGCTTACAAAACGAAACCCTCAAATTTGCAGTGCAGAATAATTTTTTTGTCTTTGTTAAAATTGTCCACTGTAAGTATACAAATGACTGGCAATACCTTCCAATATAATGTTAATCATTGTTTTTTGTGTTTTAGTGAAATGTTGTTTAAATCGCACGGTTATAAATTTCACCACATGCGGAATGCATCATGTAGGTAATGATGAAATTATCATTCTACTGGAATTTGAACCGCCAACCACTAAAGAAGCAGCCAATAACTCGAGCTCTCTAATTCCTCGAGATATTTTTGTACATCTTAATGATATCTACAACAATGCCGAGGCCGGTAATCCCATACAGGAATTGTCACACACGAGCCCAACACAGAGTACATTCTTAGGATCTCGAGACTACGGGGGATTTATATTCATACGTCCCACATTCCAGTGTATGTTGGATATAATACATCCCGACAAACCCTATCTGATAGGAATATTAATACACCGTTTTGAAATTCCTTGGGCGAAAATATTTCCCTTGCGTTTGATGCTGCGATTGGGGGCTCAATATCGCTACTATCCTTGTCCGCATGTATCCATGTGTAATCGAGAATCGGTGTATGCCGAGATAGCCCAGACAATAATAAACTTTTTGGCTGTAAGAAATTACTTTTTCGATAAGGCTATGTGCCTTTTTATTAATGAATACTCTTGATTCTTGCAGGATTTTCGTAATTACTCATACACGTTGCCGTTCATCAGAGGCATGTACATACACATGGAAGACAGACAGACTACGGTGGTCATACCACGTAATCGCTTGGATGATGTAGTTAAAGCAATAAACAATTCCAGTGAACACATTTTAGCGTTCGGTGGTAATTTTTCCAAGAAAGCAGATGGTCATTTGGTTTGTATGCAAAACGTCAATGATGAACGTACGGAAATGTATGCCTACTCAACGCAGGCCATTAACATTCAAGGGCAACCACGTAAAGGTATTATTTGGTGTGGGCGATATTTTATCATGAAATAATGTTTTCCAATTTCTTAGTAACTGGTGCCAGTTTCTTTATCCTGAACGAGTCCTTGAAAGCAAACAGTGGTCTCAGTGGCAAATGTAGCATTGTTGAGGATGGTCTGATGGTCCAAATACTACCATCTAAGATGGAGGAAGTCCGCGAATCATTAAAAAATCAAAAGGATGTCACAATTGTGTGTGGTCCTGTTGATGCTGACGAACAGCATACTGAGATTGTCTGTCTTAAGTGGGTGGAAAACGATAAGGAATTTAATATAGGGTAAGATACAAATTGAGGATGTAAAACAATGTAAAACTAGGGGAGTCTTTCTTTCAACTCAACACGAAATATTGACTATATTTCTACTGTATGCCAGAATTTGGTATGGGTAGCAGGTATTCGACTTATTTTTTAGACTCATATGTTCATTGTCTTTCAGTCGAATTTTCTATACCGTAAACGTAATTTATCAATTCATTTTATTTCTAGTGTTAAATCCCCCATTGACGATCGCCTAATGGATGGTGTATCAAGTATGCGTGTCCATGCTAGTTTTAGCTACTCAAATTCGAACTATTCCATACGTTTAACAGACATATATGTCATTCAGGTAAGTTTGTGCTTAATTCTTCAGTAACAAATGAACAACCATTATCGACCTTGTTTTTACAGCATGCTGACTGGTATAATACAAATTCATCGACATTAAGTGCCGAAACAACATCCGATGTAACACGAATGACCGAACAAATCGCCAGAAGTACCTCAATGGCCCTGGTACCATTCTTGGATCTTTTGGTAGCCAGTAAAAGTACGAAAATTGGCTTGAGAGCCACATTGCATCAGGACAATGTAAGTCAAATTTGGCAATTTTGAAAACAGCTAATTATTTTTCAACTCCTAGGTTTGTTATGAGGCTGGTGCTCGTGGCTCAAAATTGCCACCACTCTATATGAATGCATTGGATAATCATTTGATTCCTACTCTACATGGCATCTCATCTGGCATTGAGGAGGCGTTAATTTTAGAATTAATTTTTTACATATTAAACGTTTAGATAAATCAAATTCATAGTTACGACAAAGACGAGAAAGCCAAGTTTTATTGAATAGACCTCAAATATATACCCCATTTATTAACGAACTAATTGTGCAATGAAAATTTTTAAGTATCAAAGTATGGTAACGAGGACTTATTGTTTTGTTTTTAGAACTAAGCCAATACTAAACCCAAAACTTGTATATTTAATATTAATGTCACATTATTTGCTGCTCTTCCATACGCATTGAATGTGTAGAGAGCAGTAATATAAATTTTTAGCCTTTTTATTTTTCTTAGTTGCAACAAAACGAATGAAAGAAAAGATAATCATTTCAATTTTTTTAGGTTTTAGTTCTTTGACTTTTTCTTGGGGTGAAATACTATATACATACATGTATACACTATAAAATATTATAACGTAGTAATATAAAATGTATTATATGATAACAATATTCAATTATTGTTTAATATTCTTCTCTTTTATTTCTCAAATCCAAATGTTTTTTTTTTTTTTTCGATTTATTAATTACTAGTAATATAAATAATCAATAAAGAAAAAAGTACCTTTAAAAATAAAAAAAAAATATTTAATATTTTGGTTTTAATTTTATGGCTTAGAACTTTAATTTTTCTTTTGAAAAATACTTACAAAAGTGTTGCCCTTGTTTTATAGAAACGCTCATTGTTTTCTGTTTAAATAAATTACTTTATTTACTTACAAAAATGCTGATTGTGTGAACAATTGTGTGTACCTTGTTGATGTTTTATACAATACAAAATTAGAAAAAAAACTTGTCTCATATTTATACACTACGTCCATTTTATAGCAGAGTTCGCAATTCGTCTTCTTTTTTTTCTGTTTCATATTAACAATTACAATTGGATTTCCCATTTTCTAGGTTCTTGATGTGACTTTAAGCTAAACTTAATTTACTTAAGTGGTTGGAGACACATACAGATAAAACAAAAACAAACTTAACTGTGAAGTAGGTATGGGAAATTCTAATAACGTTATATGTATGCAAGACAGAAAGAGAATGTGAAGAGGAAAAACTAAACTGTCTACAAATCTAGCTGTGCTACTCTAACAATGAGAGTAACATTCAATTATCAATTAAAATGAAATGTTAACAATGTTTTGTTTTTTAAATTATTTTTACATAAAAAATATAAACTTAAATTAAACAACCAAAACAGAAAGTAGAAAGAGGTCAAATGATGTGGATGAAATTAAGAATTACTAAATTGGAATTATTTGGTTGTATACGAATGGAAGAAGGAAAGATGTTGGATTGGAGATGGAAGACTGCCGGTCTTACAGCTCATCATGCTTGGGTCCGGAGAATTCATCATGGGAAATGAAACCGTTCTTGTCCTTGTCTTCATGTTGGAAGATTTCCTCAACCAGTTTGTCGTTTTCCTTTAACATGTTTTTCAATTCTTCGGAATCTTGACCTTCGACAGCTGTCATTTGTTTCTTCAAGTATTCGCTGACCTGTAAGGGTACAACAAAACAAAACACAGTATGAACAAGATTGCCTTCATGTAGAATAAGTTTAGGTCAATTAAAGTGCATTGTTTGATTAATTTCAAATGATTTTGGTTAGCGCTACTAATGATGAGTTTGTTAAGTGAAAAATTAGTTTTTTGTTTCCCTTAGGAGGTTGTAGGGAGAAAGACATAATCCACCACCCTCATGATTATAACCAGAAACCAAATCAAAACAAAGGTGTAGAAAATGAAAAAGTGCGATCCATACATATTGGTTTACCTCTTCGCGGCTCAGTTGCTTGTCACCGTTTTCATCGATTTCCTTGAAAACATTGGTGGTTGGTGGGCTGTTGCTAATATTGATGAGCTCAACATCAAAGATCAAAGTAGCCTTGGGTGGGATAACATTGCCAGCACCGCGATCACCATAGCCCAACTCTGGTGGAATGGTAAGTTTACGTTTTTCACCTGAAAGCGGAAATACAAAAGGATTAGTAAAAGGGCTTTAAATAATAAAAAATGTTGCAGCTGAATTTTAAAGCAAACTCAAATTTGATTTCAACTTACCAACACACATATCAACTAAACCTTGATCCCAGCCTTTAATAACTTGTCCAGCACCCAATTGGAAGGTGAATGGTTGGTCACGATCCAAGCTGAAATGGAAAAAAGTACACACAGACAATTAGAACAAACTCAACACGAGTGTCCTCCTTTGCATAGGAGAAAAAACAAACGAACAGTTAAGCAACCACGTGAAGTGCTCTTCAGGAAAACGACTTAACACCACTTCACATTTAACGTATGCTCATGTGGAATGCATACACACATCCATATGTCATTTTTGTGGGATCATCCTGTAGGAACAATCCATCATTTGGAAGAAGAAACAATTTGTAATAAATGGATTAAAAATAGCATACTTTTAGGAGCCGTGAAGGAGAAATCGTTATGGACTTTATTCATATTCATGTCATTATCCTTTATGGTGCGAATTTATGAACATTAAAATATGCATAAATACCTTTAGCCAGCAAACCTAGGAAACAAATGCTACAAATGTTGCATCTTTAAAATTGGACCGGAAAATTTATTTTTTGTTTACAGCATTTTTGCCAACAACAATCAAGTTTAATGTGAACATCTTGTTTAAAAATTAATATTGTCATAGGATTTGATTCGTGCGACACTCAACCACCTCCCACCCCCATCCTCAAACACCATTCAAAAATAAATGATACACACGGGGCTAAATAAAAAATGATTATCATAAACTAGAACAACTTATCACAGACTGCGCCTGGGGAATGTGGGGCTGGCGACAGTGAAGGAAAGAATTTGATGGAAATTCTGCGGATGGTGATATTTTTGGGTCTTCATTAATTTGTAGTAGCACTTGTGATGGTTTTTCGTATCATTAAGGTTTGATAATAAGTAAAGTATTTACAATTAAAGCCAGCATTGAGACGTCGTAAATGGTAAAAGTAAATTGAAATGCATACTTTTAGGCGCAAAAGAGACTATGGTCATTTTAAAGAAAATAAAAGTTAATATAAACTTCATAGTATGATTAATATAACCCATATAGCACAGTAAAGATATTATAACATATATAGTATATAAGGTAATGTCCGCCAGTATTTTGGCATAATACAAGTTAGATGTAAATGTATATCCCCAGTCTTGAGTTATGATTGTTCTAACTGTTGACCCTTTATGGGTGAGGTCCGAAACAGCTGGACAATATTGACCAATTCTGACCTAAGACTGATAAAAATATTACAACGTGCCAGATTTGGACTATATCGACTTTATATGAGATATGTGCACATTTTTGGAAAATGTGAAAATATGCGTGACCGATGTATTCCATTTTCATACTTCATCTAATATCGCTAAAAATATTGGTATCTGCAAAATTTTAAGGAAACCGAACATTTATATCCAAAATCATAAATTTTGATAAATTACATATTCATATCAGATCTCAGGTTAAGAGATATATTTAGACATAGCAAGTTGTAAAGAATAGACGACTTGTTTCGCAAGTTATGACAGATATAAGTATGTAAAATTGTGGCCCTTTGTGGGTGAGGTACCAGAAGGGGTTGGTAGAAATATATCACCTTCACAATCGGTCTTGCGTTAGCAAAAATATTTGGATGTGTGAAATTTAAAGAGAGTTGGATACTTATTTTTCAAAAATCTTGAACCCTATGTGGGGAGGTACCAGAAGAAATGATCCGATTTGTACCATTTTTATAATAAGTCTTGTGTTGACCGAAATATTGAGATGTGCCAAGTCTGAATGGAATCAAATGTTAACTTTGCGTTTTATAAGTTTCATGGATATTCAAAATTTTGACCCTTTGTGGGGAACGTACCAGAAGAAGTGGACTGACATATCCCATTTTCACGCCAGACCTTGGGTTAATAAAAATATTGTGATGTGTGTATGTGGAAGAGAGCCGGATGCTTATTTCGGACTTTATGATCGTTTTGGCTATTCAAAATTTCGACCCTATGTGGGGGAGGTACCAGAACAAATGGTCCGATCTCTACCATATTTATAACAGATTATGTTTATGGATTATGTTTATGGAAATATTGATGTACCAAGTCTGAATGGAATCGGATGTTAATTTCGCGTTTTATGACTTTCATGGATATTCAAAATTTTGACCATTTTATGGGGGAGGTAGCAGAAAGAATGAACCTATACATTCCATCTTTTTACCAGACCTTAGATTAATGAAAATATTGTGATGTGTGTAATTTGAAGACAATCGGGCTCTTACATAACTTTTAAAGGAGTTATAATTTTTCAAAATCTTGACCCTTTGTGGAGGAGATACTTGATGGAGTGGAGAGATATTGTCCATTTTCGCACCTGAGCTAGCAACAATGCAAATCTTAGGATTCGCAAGGTTGGAACAAAATCGAACTATCCTTTCTCTTTCTGTGCAGTAAATTATTGTCCATCTCCGAACTCGATCTAAGCTTGAAAAAAATATTACTATGTATCAAGTTTGGACCAAATCGAATACTCCCTTCGAGAGTTATCGTGAGCACCAGCCAGTCAGAAGATAGACGGACGGATATCGCTAAATCGACTTTAAATGTCCTGAAACGGATTTGGTCCAAAGAGACTTAGGGTCTAAAACCGTTATTTCGACTAGGTACGTTTTAGCCGTATCTAGCCATATGGCTGAGGGTATAAAATGCAATTATCCCAGATTTTGAAAAATGTTTATTGTAAGTGTAACCAAGTTCAGTATTGGTTGTGGGACTTTAAGCCAATCCAAACATAGGTTCTTACAGTGAATTTGGGCGCTAGAGAACAGACTTGGAGCTAGGTTGAAAATAAAGATATTTTCTTTCAGTAATGGTAAATTCTGCCTATTTGGCAGGGATGTGAGTACCCAATCATAAATTGAACTGGAGTCTCGTATTAGATTTCATATTAACCATAACATTTACCTCCGTTCCATACATTTTGCGGTATTCAAAATAACAATTAACATATTTGATGAACATAAATCAATGTTCCAATATGAGGAAGTTATGATATCTCTCATCCCTCCTTGAGTGTATTAATATAAAACCAATAAATTCTGATATACGGAAAAGCTTACAAAGATTTTCAAATGGTGATAATAAAAACCCAACAACAACAACCACGATAATAATAATACAAGCATATTGGGAAAAAACGTTGGCTCACTGAATACGCATAAAATTAGTTATGCATTTGCAAAAATCCCAATAAAAAATCTAGCATTGGAAACATAAAAACGACACACACACACACACCCACACGGCAAACACAAATCTTCATCATAACCCTCAGATGCTAGGCTAGGGCTATGGACAGGTGCGTAGCATGGGGGGGCTAGGGGTATTTCATTCAATATGATACCCCCTTTTGTTTGTAATTTCCTCCCCACAATGAACTCTGAAGACATTTGTGCCTTCACTCACATGCCTCACAGGCGAATCATCATCAGCATCGTAATCTCTTGAAAGAAATCCTCCACAACATTTGCACGACTTGTGTTCTAGGTGTTTATGGCGAAACGGACGGAAGCAAATGCCGTGTTTGTATCAACAAACAAACAGACAGACTGGCAAACAGAACATGTCCACAGCAACAACAACAAACCGAAATGCAATAAAAATTCAAGGTAAAAAATGAACTCACATGTGAGAGGAAAGGAGGGTGTATCAAAGCATAAGCATGCATAACATATTGAAGTGGAATATGAGGCCCCTCATGAAACTGAATAGACGATGGGGTAAGCCACTCTCTCATAATCCTCTGGAATCCCCAGGTCCTTTCAATGTTCTTGTTTTTTGATGTTGTTTTTATAAACACATTAATTTTCGAGTGTTAGATGCCACCATCACCAGAACGCAAAGCGTTTCAGTTACAACCTGCTGCGGGATTCCGTACAAATATGTTTGCTTTTGGAATTCCATGACATTTGAAGGTGTTGCTACATTTCAACTGTCACCTTGTGCGGTAACCTCATAAGAGATTATCCTTGCTTCGTTTTTATTTTTCGTTCTTGTTTCCTGCATCTTGGGAGAAAAACAGTCAAATGTCGTGGAAAATGCTCCATCATGGTATGGAAATCATCATCATCAGTTAAGCTCCCAAGATGTGTGTGTGTGTGTGTTTGGTTGTTCCTAAGTCTGTTTACAAATGTATAAACAAATGAGAAGACAACAACATTTGAATTGTTACAGAAAATCCCCCTGGAGAGAGGAAAGGCATATAAAATATTTATACCCGCCACTTGTTCGTCGCTGGCTTATTTAACAGCGTAAATAACAGCAAAAAAATTGTAAACTTCTTGTCTTTATTTTTTGTGTATTCTCCTGTTAGCTTATGCCAGGCCCAAAGAACATCATGTAGTGGTAGTATTTTCCCGCTAGGCGAGCTGTGTAACTACAGCAAGGCAATTATTTAGTGCAAACTTTTTTTGTTTTAGAACTTTTTTTTTGTTTTAGATCTTTTTTTGTGCTTTTCCAAAAGTGTTGCATTGGGAGGCATTTTTCATCTGTTAAAAAGTTTTTACTGTCGTACAAGTGATAATCATAAGGTCTGGATGATTTGCCAAAGAGGGCAATTTAACAAAAAAAAAAATTTCTTTCTATAAATTTATTAGTCGTCTGCTGTATTCTATTAAGTTTTATTAAATTTACAGGGTGAGATGAAAAAACTGCAACCAACTTCAGACTGCTGCCATTTCTAAGCCACTCGTCCGGCAGATGTACAAAATTATTCCAGTGACAGCTCTTTATATTGTACAAAAGCATTTTGGTGAGAATTTTACAGAAAAAAAGTTATTCGTGACGAAATTCAACCGTGATAGTATGATTTCTTTATTTGTCTGGAAAACCACAAGTGGCTATCGTTAGAGCACTCCAGCATTTAAATGTGAATAAATCTTTTATGTCTCGTACCATTGCTCATACGGTGATACCGAAGTCAAGGAAGGGGACGGAAGAAAACAGCAACATGAGCAGAAATAGTTCGAAAAATGAAGAAGCGATTGATCGAAACGCGCATCGCAGTGGCCGAAAAATGGCTCGTAAGCTGAACATATTGCAATATTCCATTCAGTAAATATTGAAAAATTAGCTTGGGGTA